ATCCGTCAAATTTCATCTGGCAGGTGGACAAACTCTGCCCGCCGTGTTGCGCATGTTTGAGGGAAAACAGTGAGAATCTGGAAAATGTGTTTTTCCTGTGTGTCGCCGCAAAATAGTCTTGTCGAAAACTGTACAGAGAGCCGGAGTCCTCCCATATGTGTCCCGGTGGAGTTTGGAAGTTGGATGTGAGCGCCGTGTGCGGAGAGGGAGAGCGGTAATAATAAACGGAGCCCGGGGAGGAGAGCAGCTCCTCGGACTGGTTTGGGTGATGCTGATTAGGCTGATAACGCGGACACCCGTGCGCATTCTCCACCTTGACGCAAGGAAGCTCCCCCTGCGCCGGCATTTGGAAGAGACACGGGGGCTTAGCGTCGTATCCGGCGCCATAAGTGTCACCCAAGGGGCCAAAACTGTGGCTCGACGTTGCAGCTGAGATTTCACTGTTAGTAAGGTCCATGCTGAACTTGACAAACTCTGGGGTGAGGAAGTCGCAGCTGCGCTCTCCGCTGGCGCTCTGAGAGGCCGGGCTGGCTCCCTGTGGAGAGGAGCCGCACTGGGTCTGGACACACGGCATGTTCCCTGAAAACATGGGCGTAATGCTGTCAGTCCAAAGTGAACAAAGTAGGCAATTACTGAGCTTGTATATGGTATTACACATTGCTTTCAAACGTTGTTTTTGCAATTTTCCTCATGGTCTTTTTTTTAACATTCAATGGAAACAAATTGCGCGCACGCTAAGCAGAATTTTCCACTGGCTGAAAGGCAGCTATCAGACTATTTAAAACCATATTTTGCATTATACAGATGGAATGCATAAAGAACAGACTTCATTACCTTAAGGCTTTAGTTGTATTTTCCAGAGGATGTTATGACCCGCTATACATTGCCTGGTATGAAACAGAAAACAGAGCATCACTTGCAAGCTTCACCCTCATGCATCATTGATACCTTCATAAATTAGTGAAGAAAAAGTATATGCAACATACCTCAGACCTCTATCTAGCGCAGGAGGACAGTCAATCATCAGTCAGACAACTAATCCCATCTCTGCTGTAGTGTTGCTTGTGAATCTATTAGAGCTTTAGCTGCGACCAGAGACGCTGTCTGAAGTGCAAAAGGAAATGACTGCTCACTTCTCCCACTCTCGGCTTGCAGACTGGCTGCCAGTGTCACGACAATGTGCTTTTGTTTACGTGTGCCAAACCCTTATTACGCACGAGCCACAGAGGGGTGGGGTGGTGTGTGAGGCTCATTGATTGGTGTGGGCACAGAGAGTGGTTTCGTGTAATTCGAAAATAATGCTTGTGGCCCACTTTCTTGCAGTTTGCATCATTTTATTGCGATGTTTTTAAAGAAACTATCAAACCTGGGGCTGCTACACAAAGTAGACATGCTGTGGCATTCATGTGCCGTAAGAGTCAAAGTCTGTAGGGACTGTTCCTTATTTATGAGGAGGGTGGGGTGGTGCAAAACGGGGGAGGCATGTCAAATAATTTTTTTAAGCACTGTGGAGGGACTTGTGTTTTTTAATTTGGCTAAGAGGAGGGACATACAACTTTAAATGGTTGTTTTTAGTATTAATTTTAAATACCCTCTGCCAACACATTCTTCCTCTGACCTTGTCACATATTGACATTTGGTCATGGACTTTCCATGTCCAGAGATGACGTGCAAGGTACCCTGGGTGCATTGGTTGCTGACATTCAGGAACGCTGTATCAAACTCAGCCTCTTAGATGCATTGCCTTCTTTCAAAATACATTTCTGTTTTCATAGGAAATTTGCCATTTAGCCTACATACAGTCTGTATTTTTTCCTCCAACAACAAAAGCATGTGGTTGGGTTTCGTAAGAAAAAACAGGGTTTGGCTTTATAATCTTACCTGATGCAAGCACTGCTGTCCCGGGTGCAGGTCGGTGTTTGCTGGACCTGCTCGCAGGGGCCTGTTAAACTACACTGCTCAAAAAAATTAAGGGAACACTTAAATCACACATCCCAGATCTCAATGAATGAAATATTCCAGATGAAAATCTTTATTTATTACATAGTATAATTTGTTGAGAACAAAATAATGTAAGAACAATCCATGGGAACCAAAATCATTAACTCATTTAAGATTGGATTCAGAATCATACCCAAAATCAAAGTGGAAAAATGACATCACAGGCTGATCAAACTTCAGTGACTTTCCTCAGGACAACTTGTAATGTGGCTCAGTAGTGTGCATGGCCTCCACGTGCCAGTATACATTCCCTACAATGTCTGGGCATGCTCCTGATGAGACGACGGATGGTGTCCTGGGGGATCTCCTCCCGGACCTGGATCAGGGCATCAGGCAGCTCTTGGACAGTCTGTGGTGTGATGTGGCAGCGGTGGATGCTATGATACATGATGTCCCAAAGGTGCTCGATTGGATTCAGGTCTGGGGAATGGGCGGGCCAGTCAATAGCATCAAGGCAAGGCAAGTTTATTTGTAGAGCACAATTCGTACACAAAGTAATTCAAAGTGCTTTACAGAACAAGAAAATGCATTAAAATCACAATACAAAATAAAAACATAAATAATCATTTTATAATCATTATTTACCTGAACAGAAGAGTGTCTCACTGAATAAGCATTCAACACTTGCAATTTTTAAAAACAGTGCATTTGTAATGCGTGCAAACTGGAAAGTTACAACTTCGTTGTACGGAACCAAAGGTAACAACAGGTATCTTAAATCACAAGATAAAATGCGTAGTTAGAGTAACAAATGATTCGGTGGCGACAGACGTCCACGCATCACATGTAACTGCGTTCCTACCTACCTGCCTTCAACAGTGAGGCCATGACTTCTGTTTTGGTTTGATGGTAGAGTGTCGGTGAAATAGCGTTGGGATGGGATGGTGTATCTGGGCTCCAGTGTATGCAGCAGTGCTCGAAATCCCTGATTTTCCACGACGGAATAAGGACGCAAATCTTTGGCAATAAATGCCGCGATGGCCTTCGTAATTCGCTTGGCCTTTTCAGATGAGGGTGGCAGCTTTCTAATTGCTTCCTCAATTGTTCTCTGGTCGGTAGCGCCGCTAGTTGCCGCAGCAACAAAAGCCTGCCGTCTCCCTGACTCCTCCGTCAGGTGGAATCGAGTTACATGGCTTCTCATGTTTGTTGTGTTGCCAAAGTATTTTATTTTAGCACGACACAGCTTACATATAACGTGGCTCTTGTCCAGTTCGCTTCCGCCGTCAACGTTGTAGAAGCCGAAGTATTTCCACACATCTGCTTTTAAATTAGAAGAAGCCGTTCAGCTCTCACGGCGAGGTGGGTAGCGGTCAGCCATGTTTGTTTTTCTCTGTGCGCGTGTCTGCTCCAGGCGCGCATCCCAGAGTGTCCCGGAGATGACACGTACTGCGTTTCTTAGTTCCGCATTATTTAGAGCCTTCTGTATTACTCTAATTAACAGATTTAAATAATCGAAATTTGGACGTTTGTGAATCGATTCAGATTCGTCCACGTCCGAATCGCGATGCATCTAAGAATTGGAAATTTCCCCCAGCCCTAGTTGTGAGCGTTTATACTTGTGCGGTGGTGGGTCTGTGTCACTCTGCAGTTACACCTATAAAACACTAATCCACGTCGGGGTCTCTGTGCTGGTAAGTTTAGTTGATTAAAAACACACATTAAACACACATTAAACTTGGCTTAATACACAAAGTACACAAATCAGCTTCACTATAACTGGCAGCATTCACGGACAACGCACTTGTCTTTATCTGGACACATTTCCCCACAAATACAACATGCTAATGTTTTTAGCACAAGCCTATGGCATTTTATATTGTATAAATTAGGCTAGTGGCTAGTGAACCTTTCCTCTACTCATATGAAGCCAGGGACAACAGCAACATTCATCAAAGGTAACGTTACATAATTCGGCTCCATTACAAGTCACAAGATTCACGGACAAAACAACTGTCTTATACTAAACACATTTTCCAAACAAATACAGTATAACATGCTAACGTTATTGGCACAAGCCTATGGCATTTTATATCGTATGAATTAGCCTAGTGAATAGCTGAGATCTCCTCCACTCATATGAAGCCAGGAAAAAGACTTAAAATTCTGTTATGTGGGGGCTTTATTGTCTCCGCAATTCTTTGTCTCATTTGTGAAATTAAAATAAATAAACACTTCGTTTCCACTGAGGGAAATGGTTTTCAGCTAACAAAAACAGACAGGAGGTCTGCATCACTGTTGTGCATAGTTACATTTCTGGGTAGGCGCATCTCAGGCTGGCATAGGGTATGTAGGTGTAGGGTATGGTTATTCTGCTGTCAATTTTTGGACCGTATAACCCCTAACCAGGCTGTTCCAACATCTAGTGGACAGCAGCTGGTTAGGCTTTCTTTTTTTCCCTCTACTTTTTTCCAACATTGTAGGTGGTGGCCTCACAGCCCACAAGGTGCATGGCCCATCTGACATTTGCCAGAATTGCCCGATGGCCATTCTGAGCCTGGCCGGGTGTGAATGCTGATTATAACCTTTCCCATTACAAACAAAAGCCAGATGATAATAGCTATTAGTGTTTTTTTGTGCATTGGGAAAGGGGCACCTCATCCACCCTGCTCTTCTGATGAGTAAAGTACAGTCCCTCAAACATAGGGATCATTTTCAACAGCTGTACTGTGGTTGATTGAGGAGCATTATTTTGCAGCTTAAAACCGACGCTTAGCATCAGTGTTTTTAAATATTATCAGCTTTATTTTTTCTCCATGCCTTCCGTGCTGAAAGACAGATCAAACGACAGCTGGGCGCACTTCCCTCTGTCTTTATCATTATCCTGAAGAAGGATACGGGGGACACCAGCGTTGTGCAATCCTACCCTCACTTACGTCACGACCGCGGCACCGCCCCCCCGCTCGAACGCCATTGGACTAGCGCAGCGGAGCGCCGCGCTCCGATTGGCTCTCCGTGACGCCGCTCGCGGCTAGCGCTGCTTCCTGGTTGCAGCCGTCAAACACAAGCTGCAGTTTGGATAACAACCGATGTCCTCATTGTCGCCGCCCTGAATCGCCCTGAGCGAGTTTTAATCAGCCTCAAAACAAGAAGTCCTGTAAGTGGGAATGTCTGTTGTATCACTGACTGTTTTTCGGGCATTTTGAAATATGTCTAACGGATATTTAACCCTTTGTTTTTTTGGCGTAGAGCCAAAAAGCACAGCAGTATCAACGAGTTCCTTTGCTAGTCGAGTGTGACCATACACCTCTACTCCTCGGTTCTTCTAGCGAAGGGCATGCCAGATTAATGTGTGTAATTTGGTTATTTTAAATCGTAAAAAACGGCTACATTTCCCTCTCTTCCTGTAGAGGTGTACAACAGGCATTTTTATAACGTAAAATTATCATTGGTGCCTGCTGAGACGAAGCCTGTTGTTGGTTTTCCTTTAAAGACCAAACTGAGCTGACATTATAATCCACTGTAAGATCTCAAATGACACCGACTTCCTCTTGTGTGATAGATAACAGAACAATACCTGGCATCGCAAATGAATTTACCACCACCTGCTGTTGAACCTTCAGGGTGGAATTTGTCAGATTTCCCAGGTATCCACAGGAAACACACAGTAAAATTGTAAATGGACCTCGCCATGTATGTCTTCACAAACCAGCCCCACATTACAGCCAGGAAGCCCTCCTTCTGCTGTGTCATTATGAATCTGCAGGCTGATGAAAGTGAATGAGGTAGTGAACATCACGAGGAGGGATAGTTAATTTTTCTGGTTATGTCACTCACTTATTAGGGCTTCAGTTTCAACAGTTTGGTGGTTCAGCTGCTTAAACTATACTCATCAGCATGTTCCTGTCAAAATAGCTCTTTGGGGCTAATTGTTTTCATATTTGGCCTTTAGCCTATAGTGTTCAGTAATGAGCAGCATGTGGGAGGGTGTAAAAGCCTGTGGCATGCCACACTGTAGGGTTTGATTATATAGGGTTTTAAGGCCAGTAGACTGAATGGAAATTGATAATACCTGGTTTTAAAAAAGATAAAGCTATATGATCTGTGCCTAAATAAATGGAGTTAGGGATGCACAATAATATCGGCCCATCATCAGTATTGGCCGACATTTAAAATGAACTATCAGAAACGCCCAACATACATTTTCTTAATTTGCACAATGAGTGAATATTACATACACTGAAAAGCATTGTATTTCATGTCTCCATGTGCTGGTGGGCCATCATCATAAGAGCATGCATGTATAATAGGCTATGATAATTCCACTCCAGAAGAGACTTGATGATCACTAAAATTAGGTGGGGAAAAAGTGGATATATCGATCTTGTTATCGGTTATCAGCCAAATGAAGACAGAAGTGGAGACATTTGGTCAGATACTGAATTGGTGACACTAGTCTTGGGTGTCCACTTTGAAACTGAGCCAGGGTATGAAATTAACAAAATATTTTGGGGGCAATTTTGGCCCCCACGGTCTAAAAAATGGGGGCATTTTCAAAATGTTTGGGGGCCATCAAAAAATTGTAATTATGTTCTAACAATAAGCACATGAAAAGCAAAACCAACTAAGATAGTGTCTTCACTCTTCAGTATAAACCACTATAAATGAAATAAATAATGGGTTGCATAAAGTTATGGTTGCAAAATATCACTCAGATTTCCTATAATTCAGCCAGTTTAAATGTGATGATTTAACCATTAATCTACTGATAGCAGTACTAATGTTTCACCACATTACAGTTACTTTTACTCTTAAAAAGGCCAAATTACTATAAATTCCTTAGATGCAATCCTGGAAGTAAGTTAATTTAAAATTTAACATTCATTCTACCTTAATTTTTCATTAATTTGTCATTGTGTAGACACAGATCACCCAAGAAATGGTTAATTTATACTTATGGTACAGCAAAGCCCCCTCCCCTTCTCTGTCAGATTACTCTCACATAATCAGTGCAATCTTGTTGATTATGTCTGGAAAATGAGTTGTAGACGTGACGGTAAATTAATTTAATGAAAATAAAATTATACTTTAATGTCAGATTGTAATACTGTTAAAAATAGAAATACATATAGTTGTTTCGAAAACTTGGGGCAATTTTGGCCCCTGGAACACGGCTTTTGGGGGCACTCTTGGATAAATTGCGGGCCAAATGGCCCGTGGCCCTTGCTAATTTCTGACACTGAACTGAGCTGATTGTATAAGCCTAGATCTTCTGTGTGCTGTGTGTGAAGCATCCATGTTTTCACAGACATGGATGTAAACTGTAAGTAACTTGACTGGTTAGGGGAGGTATACAACTGCAAGGCAGTAATTCTAGTTTTTGACAGTGTAGAAAAGCCATTTAAACAATGTCACAACCGTCACAGGACATTAAAATTCCCTCTGTCACAATTACACCAAGTCAGAGCTATAAGTAGCCTCTATATTTAAGTCATATACTGTAGCTCACAGCTTTAGCATATAACGTATGAAGTTGTGCTTTGATAGATTGCAGTGTGCAGCTTCAGTTCTGTGGAGAAGCTTTCATATGCTGTCTTCATAACAGGTTTTAAAAGGAGCACTTTTGTAATCAGGGATGCACAGACATCCCATGATCCAGATGTACGTCTCTTGAGGTCTTACTTTGCTTATTTTGTAGTAATTCTTCCAGTAAATCGTGTTGTTGTTTAACAGTTCTTGCAGTTAAAAAGTTGTATCAAATGACGAAGGCAGTGGCTGTAAAATTGTGGTGCTAATATTGACTGACACAATAGTAATAGGTCACTTGTTGCACCAAACTCATTACTGACATTTGAGCCATCTGTAGCTGTGTTTTATTAAAATGCATTAGAATCTGCTTCAGCATTTGCCACTCCCTGGAAACCTTTATTCAAAGTACGTTACAGTGGGAATGCAAATACTTTTTTGGGCTGCCCCTGGTGGGATTTGGGGCCCTCGTCCTGCTGGAGCTGGTATCATGTTCTCCTCGTTAAAATGTAGAAACAGCGTCCAAACAGTTGCTTAATACTAAATGAGTGTTACTCAATTTAATTTCTATTTTGAACAAAATAATCCTGCAGAGTTTTTCTTGCTGTATGGTGGTCATTTTCAGTTTTTTTCCCCTGATGTATATTAACCTGTCTTCAGTCATTTTATCATCATGAGTGATTTGCCTCATTTTTGCCCTTTAAACATTCTTTAATAAGTAAATATTTGCTTCAGATAGACTTTTACCAATTAGTAAACAAATTATACGCAAAACACTTAATATGTTAAGTCATGAATTTAAGCAAATATGCCAAATATTCTCTAGTTCTACCTTCTTAAATGTGTAGATTTGCTGCTATTCATTGTCATATATGAGAGTAAATGGAATATTTTTAGTTTTTAGAGGGTTGATTGGATAAAGGAAACATTTTCAAGATGTCACCTTGAATATTTTTAGCTATTTTCTAGCATTTTAGATGAAGAGATTGATCAAGAGAATAATTGGCAGATTAATCAGTAATTAAACAGCTTTGTTAGTTAGTTGGTCAGTTGCAGTCCTAGTTTCAAACAAGTTGAATTAGACTACATGGTCAAAAGTATTCGGATGCTTAAATTAATTTTGTGGAGAACTGGACGATGCACTCATATGTCATAATTCAAACAGGAAATCTGTGGAGCTGCAACTATAATTCGATTAAATGATTGAAAAAAATCGCCAACTATTTTGATAATCGATTCAGTGTTTCAGTAATTTTTTAATTAATTTGCTAGTTCCAGCTTTTAAAATGTGAGAGAATTTGCTGTTTTTCTTTGTCATTTATGGAGAGTCTTTGAGTTTTGGACTTTAGGTTGGACAAAGAAGCAAAACGAAGAAGTCAATTTGGGTTCTGGGTAACAGAGACAAGCATTTTTCACTGTTTTTCCCAACATTTGAATTGACTAAATGATGAATCAATTAATCGTGAAAATAATTGGTGGATTAGTTGACAATAAAAATACAATTACAATTATAGTTGCTGTGCAGCAATGGTCGGGGCCGGGCAATTTTAGGCAAAATTAGCCAATTCTGAGCAACACACACACTAAAACAAAGCATATCACAACATAGAAGTTACATCATATAATTATGGCATGCCCTTCAAATTATGGATGAGTGGCTGAAGTGATCAGACTCATAATATACTAAGGAAAGAAAAAACTCAAGAACAAGAAAGTAAGAATAACATTAACTGCTAGCAATTATGAACAAACTGGCCTGATCTAGCTTAAAGCTAAACAGTATCCATGGTGACTAAGATGAAAACATTTTTTAAAATGTAAAAGTAGCTATTGAATAGACTCTGCATATTGACTGATAGCTAAGCCAAATAAACAGGGAAAAGAGACAAGGGACAACAGGGAAAAGTGTTGATAAGGAGCATTTGTCTCTCCGCTTAACTGCCTGGATCATAAATTATTTTAACCTTAGTAGTCTCTAATCCACATAGCATGATGCCTGAACATAGGACTTTCACATTAGAATGTCTGTTCTGCCTTAGCTGAGGCTTGAACTCACAACATCTGAGACTGAGGTCCGTCATCTATCTCACTGAGCTAACTGGCAAGTGACAGTTCATGTGTGGCTTCACAAATTGACTAAGCCAAGCATCAGGGTGCCAGACAGTAGCCATCCATGCCATGGAAAAGCAAAAAAAAGTGAAAGTTCCAAAGCTGTAGCACATATGATTGATTTGTTATGAATTTTCAAAGTTTTGACATTTAGAGGCTTGCTGTAGCGCCACCATCAGGACTATTGTCTTGTGTTTCCAGTTGAGGACATCTGGCATGGGACTGGACCTTTATAAAAAGTTTGGGTAGATTTCTCATATGGAAATGTTGCACAAGCTGAGGCTTGAATTCACAATCTTCAACACCAAGAATCATCCTCTATCTCACTGAGCTAACTGGCAAACAGAAATGTCACATGTAGCTTCACAAGTTGACTAAGCCAGTCACCTGTGTGCAAGACAGCAGCTGTTAGTGTGTAAAGGCAGATTTCAAACGGCTGTCAAAAATTCAGTTATTAAGACAAAAATCCAAAAATACACAAATTGCATCTAGACACCATGGAGATGTTGGTCATTTGTTTTTAACAATGATTTATTTGCTCCATAAGTGAAACACTGATGTTTAAAAATGACATTTTTGCATTGACTCCAATTGTTCGCATGAGAGCGAAATTCAAAATGCTGTAAAAAATCCAGTTTTTGAGATAAAATTCTGATATTTTCCAAACATCATCTACCATGACTCCAAAATGTTGTCATTTTTTTAAAGAACATTGAAAATGTATTTAGCAAGAATTTGCAAGTATATGTTTACAGTACTGTTTACAGTCAAACATTTTGATGCACTGTAGGCTCAATTTTCGATAAATCAAAAATCTGTGTGGATCGTTTGTGTAGGACAGTCTGAAGATGCTCTGTAGCAAGTTTGGTGTCAATTGAGCAAAAATTGTGGGAGGAGATAGGTTTAAGAAGTTTTACAGTTTTTTGTAAAAAAAACAGAGTGATGGACTGTATCACAATAGGTGCAATAGGTTTAAATGTACAAAAGTTTCTTCAGTATTGGGGCAAATCTGTAGCACATATGGTTGATTTGTTGTGAAGTTTTGAACTTTAGAGGCTTGCTGTAGCGCCACCATCATGACTATTGGCCTGTTTTTGCAGTCTCTGGCATGAGACTGGACCTTTGTGCAAAGTTTGGTGATTTTTTGGGCATGGGAAGTATGATTTCCTCAGAAGAAGAAGAAAGAAGAAGAAGAACATGCAGGATAAAAATAGGGTCCTGGCAACTTAGGCTGCCCGGCCCCTAATGACTTCTTTTGACCAACTCATTCTCATCCCCAGGCCGTCAGATACTGACGCTCTGTCATGCCCCTTGGTTTCTCGTAGTGATATACAGGGCACCCTTGAGGGTCTTTTTGTGACGCACAGCTGAAACACATTCTAACACGATTTATATTGTCAAATGGTTGCCGTTTGTATTAGGCAACAAAACCACTTGGTTAGGTTCGGAAAAAGGATCATGTTTTGGGTTAAAATAAGTATGTTTGGTACGTAATACCACATACATAATGCCTGCAGACTTTCTGGATTTTTAGACAACATCAGTTGTTTTCAGCATCAACTCTTGCCACAGTTGGGTTTACATTGGAGCCTGGTGCATCTCATAAAGATGCTAATGGGTGCCTTTGTTGTCAATATCACATGAAGAGGGCTGTGACAAACCTATGACAAAGTGTCAGTATTTGGGAGCGAGAACGGGCTATTTTAACAGTCAAAAGCTCAAGGTGTGACTCTTATTCAGGTTTATACAACAGTTAGTTCCGGCCCTGCAATCTGATTGGTCAAGAGACAGTAAAACCGTGACGATATTGGAGTACAACATCACGGTTATTTCACTGTGTATGTATCACTCCGCCTCACAGCTGATTGCAATCAACAATCAAATCAAAACTGACGGTTAGTGTCAGTTAGGTTAGCAGTTGCGTTGCATCCCTGGAAAAGTATTTAAACAAACTTCCACCAGATGCAAATGCCCTTTATCTGAAGCCCAGGATGACAGCAGCTCACACAGACAATATCTGGTACACTAAAGCTCCGCTGGGAATAAACTCACTCGCACAGATGCTGCCTAAGATGTGTAAAGAGGTTTGGACAACAGCTATCTACACCAATCACAGCCTCAGGGCGACTGCCATACAGAAGCTGTCAGATGCGGGTCTTGAAGCGAGGGAGATCATGACAGTGAGTGGGCACAGGTATGATAACGCAGCCTATGTGTAAAGTTAGTCTTCTAATTAGGAGTTGGGCCCTAAAATATACCTTTTGTCTTGCTGGTCTGAGAGCTTGTTAAAAAGCTACTGGAAGCCATCCATGGAGAGAAGAAAACGATGGAGCAACATACTGTCAGATCAGAAGGCAGAGTCGGCTGTGCCTGTGAAGCGACAGTCTGCAGTCACCAGAGACTTATTTCACTGGCTGCACAATTAATGTTAACGTGCAGATAAATGTGTATAAAGAGTAAGTGCCTGGCGCACCATGTCTGCGTTACATAGCAACGGTGACAGNAGCTGGGCTGCCGGGCTACTCACCTAACAAGACCGTAACGCCTGACTCATTGCTGGGACAGAGCCACTAATAACTCAAGCTCCGGACATTAACCCATGCTACCTATTGTAACATTAAATTTAATTGAATCGACATAGCGACCTGTGCCTAACGTTACTGTAACACTAATTAAAACAGACATTTGACTTTATGTTGTACCTGTCCAGAAGAAGAAGAGCTAGCTCTGAGTCAAATTGTAGCCCCTTTAGCTCTTGCAGTGCTCTCCACCTTGAAAATGCAAGGCCAATGTTAATCCGAGTTCTGTCCCTTTCTTTATGTGACAACTTCTTCGCCAACAACCGTTGTTTCTTAAGAGGTAATGTCGGATCCTGGTCGTCTTCAGGTGAATGTTTCATTCCGCTCTCCGCCATTTTGCTTCGAAAATATGCGCTGCCACTGCTCACTGGCCGTAGCCTTTTATAGGGAGGGAGGGCCAAGGGCTCTGAGAGGGGGGTGGGGGGGGTGGGGATTCATATGAACGTACATGAACGTGCAGCCAGACTGGCTTGTAAACAAGGGGCTGGAGATCAACACAGAGAGAGGGTGTGTGAGGTCATGCTATACTCCAGATGAAATTACACCTCTAGTTCTTCACATAGTAATGTTTTAATTCCTTCAATCTAGAAATGATGAATTTCGCTTATTGTTCCTTTAATCGGTGCAACAGTGACATAAACACAGCATTCCTGTTCTACACACCTCTCTTTTATGACCATTCGACCTGACTTGCAGCTTTTTGGATCCTCCCACCCTCCATACTTTCTTGCATACCTCCTTCACATGATCACCTGTCATGTCAGAGCCCTATAACCTGTGTGTCTCTGCTCTATCTCCTCACTGCACTTTACTTTTACTCCTACAGGGACCATGGCGTTCAGGAGGGCTCTGAAACAGACGGCAATCATAGGCGGAGGGGCGGTAGCCACGGTGTTTGGCCTGTCACAGCTGATTGAATACAAGAAGACGCAGGTAAGCTGATGAAAGATGTCTCAGTTTGTACTCTATTTGTTTTCTTGTCTTTCCTGTTGCTTGATTACTTTTTGTTGCATGAATTCCAGTTTTGCAGGATTTGTCAGAAGGCAAATGTTGTTTATGTTGAGATGCGTGCTTTTTTCATCCTGACAGGTGTAAAAATTTAAACTCAGACTTTGAATACTTAAACATTTTGTGCACAACAACAGCAGAGTTTTAAGAATAGCATTTGTTTTGGTCTGAAACAAGTCAACCAAGCAGGGAGGGACTGCCTTCAAGGGCATGTCTGAGCTCAATGTTGGAATGTGCTGTCGTCTGCAGGGCGTGTTTTCTCTTTCTGTTCCTTTTTTTTTGTTGGGCACCTTTTAGCTGCTGTGCAGGAGACTTCAGTTTCCTTGCAGCATGCTGGCACTGGACCCTGAACTGCTTAGAAATGATGATAAATAATCATAGGTTCTTCACCAGCAAGTTTTTACTTTGTTGAATAACTCTTATGGAGCTTTCCCAACTCAAATTTCCTTTCTACTTCCTGGTCCAATAAAATATACCTTGTTCAAAGTTTGTAATTGAGGGTTTTACGGTCAACTTGTTCTCTGAGTTTTAGGGTTTAGGGGTGTGGCTGTTTTACTACCTGGCTTTTCAAAATAAAGTAATAAAATCAAATGTAAGTAAAGTAAAATTTTGTTTAAACAGAGCCAGGCTAGCTGTTTCCTTCTGTTGTCAGTCTTTGCGCTAAGCTAAGTTAGCCAGCTGTAGCTTCATACTTTATTTACAGATATGAGTGTGATATCAAACCACTCATCTAACTCTCAGCAAGAAGACGAATAAGTGTTCCAGAAGAAGAAACACCTAAAATAATAATCTGAGCCTGTCAGTGGTGAAAACAAGCACTTTAAGTGGACCTAAGTTGACAGTGCGCACATGCCTAGAGTGGTTACATTTCGGCCTGTTTTGTTGCTGCCAGCTGCAGCACTTTTGCTTATTACTGGACCAATTAAAAAAAGACATAGCTGTCTCCATTACTCACTTAGACACAAAAAAGATGGGAAAACAGGGTCCGGGTTGAAAAATGCCAAACTCACCCTTGAATCCATTTGATACATTATATATTTTGACCCTGTTTCTTGACTAGCCAGTTTGCTGCTTGACACTGTTGAAGGACAGCAGCATAACTTCAAGGAATGAAGAAAATGCAGCTTCTCAGAGAACAGGCAAACATTCACCCTCATGACTGGTGACCCTGGGAGCAATGCTGTCCTTGGAAGACACTACTTCATGTCCTAGTGTTAAGCCTAGAAACTCAGCCACTGATTGTCTTCATGAACACATAACTGTATATAACCACAGGGCTTCATTTGAGATTGACAAGCAGCTGTGCTTCCCCTGACCCCTGACCTGGCATAGACCTATTTTTGGCACACCACACAACTAAATACCAGACTTTATATGACTGTGCAACCTAATGTGAACTTTTGTTTTGTGTCCTGGCGTGATAATGTCTTCTCTTGCCCATCATCGTCCTCTCAACCAAGCATGGATTGGTAAGCAAGAAGTCGACCCTGATGAAATATAATTATTTTCACAATAGTTTGTAATCATGCATGCCTCTAATCCCAGTAATTGCAATGCTGATGAGATGAATGTCCATCTTGTCTCCTTTAGCAAGGGCATATGGCTTGGTGAAGTTTTCAAGACAGCGGCCGATTGGCTATTAGCATGGGCCTTGCTCTGCCATTCACTGACTTAACTTGATTACGGGGGGCACGCTGGCACTTAATTCTGTGGAGGTGTTTGTCTGTATGCATCATCAAAAATAGACAATGATTATATCATCGTCTCGTTTGCGGTTGCAGACCTAAATTACAAACGCCTGCTACTATTTGCAAGTCAAATGCCACGTTTGCTTCAAAGCAGCTTGATGCAATCATTTAGCGTCAACTGCTAAATAGAAAAATGAATGAATATTTCATTAGAAGTGAAAACCCACATCCTCGTGTCAGAGGGGAGCTGTGTTTTTTTTCTTTATCGTTGTTGTGAATATTTCTTTCAATTAATTATTTTTGCTAATCAAACAATGGATATAAATGATGTTGAAAAGACTGTGGTTTTATTTTATGGGTTTTGAAAGTTGAGCAGCATGTTGCAGCAGATAGTAACCCTCAGCAAACTTTCCTTCGCTACTAATCATATAAAGAATGTATATATAATGTTTTTTAGCAACACTTCACTTGGAAACTAAAGGTGAAAGTGACATCATAAGCACATTATAATATAACCTTCACAACCAAGAATAGCTCAATTAAAAGGATATTCTTGGATTTGTTAAAAAGGCATTCCAACTACACTTTTGCTACATTTGGTAGAAGTATTCAGACTGTCACTTAAGTAAAAGTAGCAATACTATGAAGTAAAAATGCTCTGTTACAAATAAAAGTCCTGCATCCAAACTCTAAAAGTATTTCAGTGCTTGAAAGATGGTGTTTTCATAAAGCTGGTGTTTCTATGCAGTACAAAGATGCAAATATGACCAGATAAAAAAGAAAAAGAAGTCTGTTGCATTCGCTTTTGCTCAAGAGTTAGAAAACCTACAACTACCAAAATTCACTGCGCCAAAATGGACCAATAAATGATCCTGCTGGTTGTGACATTATTGTTTTGACACAGGAAACAATAAGGCTCACTGTTAACATATGATCTCAAACAGTACAGTTAGCTTAAATATGTTTCCAGAAATATTTTAGGTGAGAAATAGACAATACAGTAACAGAATCTTGGTTTTTATTTGATCAGCACTGCCTAGAAAATGTAGAAGTACAATCTGTAGTTCCAGCAACAGCCCGAGAGCCAGCGAGTTTTGCGTCACCCAGCAGATTTTATGCTGGCAAATCTGGGTGCTTGCAAAATGTACTGTAGTATAACCCGGTTATTTTACACATTATGATACAAAGCCGGTCAACAATAGGCGAGTATACCTATATGTAAAACTATGTAACCACTACTTGAAATATATACTTAAAGGAGCAGTGTGTAGGACTTAGTTCACATTACACGATTTTCACCATGATTTTGACGTCGCAGAGGATCTTGAGAGCCACCTTGGGTCGGAGGTGAGTCGGCAGATAGTCTGCCACAACGAGCCCTCATGTGTGAACAAGCCTACGAGCAAGTCGCCCCCATGTCTGTGACCGGGACTGGATATCTGGCATGCCAAAAAACTGGAGAGGTCTGACACGACTGACAACAAACATCAGCCAATGAGAGGTGGGATATGTCCCACGTCAGCACGCAGGAGGACGGAAGAAATGTGAGGAGGACAAGCCGCAGGGTTGCCACTTGCCAGGTCCGCTTATTAGCCACGACTTTGGGGTTTTTTCTAAAGTAGAGTTGCTTATTTGGGCTTGCTTTCTAAATGTCACCTTTCTCTATATATATCCATCTAATAAGTTATTTAAACACATGATAGTCGCTTCTTTTCGGCTTGTTTCCATAGCCCTGGTTGCTTGTTTCTCTCCCAAGATCTAGCAACACTGACAAGCCAGCAAGCAACAACAACAATGGCGGCGTCCACAGGATCACGGGGAGCGCGTTGTGTTTGGACCCAGGCCCTGGAGGCACATCTGATTCAACACTGGAAAGAATATCCATGCCTTTACGATGTGTCGTTTGGTGACATCACCGTGTTAGCTGGGGCTCTGTTGGCGAGGGCTTGGTGGAGAAATCTTGTGGTGCGCACACACAGGTTGTAACGCGGTTGGCGAGACTCCCGAAGACAGAAATACACTTTGCCAGGTATGAACACTCAAAAGATTACGATAGTCTCCGCGACGCAAAATCAGGATGAAAATCGTGTAATGTGAACTAGGCTTTAGTGGCGTTGAACAGTGAGGTTTGCAACCAGCTGAAACGTCTCCCTTGCACTGAGCTTGAACTCCTGGTTATAATTCCTTCAGTGTTCATTGGTCAGTAGGTTCTTATTGGAAGCAGAATTATCCGCAAAGGTCTCTTCATCTTCAAAACAAACAAACCGGGTGATTTAAACCGATAAAACAATTAATAAAGCAGTTTCACTTTGAAAATGTGGTATTTTTCTGATGCTGTTTGGATCAACACAGAGAGGCTGCTAACTTCGGCGGCCGACACAAAAACATGGATGGCCCCATCACGAGCCAGTGTTCGGTTTGTCTGTTCTGGGCTACTGTAGAAACATGGCAATGCAACATGGCGATATCTGTAGATGAGGACCTGCTTGCTATTTATAGAAATCATTCTAAGGTAACAAAAACACAACAACTACTATTTTTAAGTTATTATATGCTAAAGAAAAGACATGCATTATATTTAATTTCCAATACTGCCAATATATCCTTCTAAATCTGACACACGGGACCTTAAAAGTATCATAAGTATTAATTTTGCAGAAGTGTATTATATGTTAACCACTTCATATGCTGTTGGGTAGTTTGATGTATACCAAGGCATCATATTTTCCAAACGAATCACATTTTTTTTGAAGAATCTGAATCTTTAAAGTAACTTAGCTGTCAGCTAAATATAGTGCAGTCAAAGCACAACATTTCTCAGCATAAAATGGAAATACTTAATTAAACTACCTCAATAGGAATAGTAACATTTTCATTAATGTTAATTACAAACTTTTTTTAAAATAAAAAAATCCTAAAACTGGAAAGTAGGGCTTGTCTTACATTTAGATGTAACATTTATGTAATTGAAAAATGGTTACGTTTTTCTACCACTGTATATATTGTAATTACTTATTTCTAGAGCTAGATTAATAAATTAGCTTGTAGCACATACAGTATTAAGGAATCACCAAGTATTGAGGTTGTTAAGTAACAGTACCTCAACAGGATCCAATAAAAGGTAATTAAAAAAAAATGCTCTACATTTGTGTTAAGATTTTCTTTGTAACACAAATATTTGTTTTTTGTCATCAATTAATGTAAAATAACCAATATCTTTTTTTTGTCTCTTGTGTTTTTAAATATGTATTGTTATCAACTTAAAAAACTCAGCAACAGTTGGGCTTTATTAAACTTTTTAATGATATCAGTGCTAGGGGATTAAAAAAAACAAAACAAGATGAATTAAAGAATTAAAATAACGAAAAAATTGTGCAACTAACTGAGAAAGTTTTTAGCACCAGTTCACCAAATGGAAAGTTAGTCTGGAGCCCTAAATAATAATCACAGTAATAAATGCACTTCTAGGCTTCTGTACATACATTATATTCCATCCCTTACAACAAAATAATGCATATTATCAGCAGCATTTGACTGTATGTCTTACAGTAATCTCATTACACAGTCAAATCCATAATGTATGAAAATGATTGCAGGTGATTATGCATTATATCACATGTAATTTTATGAGGTGATTATAATGCATGAATACATTGTACTGGGAATGCTTGCACTGTGCTTATAGTGTTTCAAAATGCACCTCAAGGAAAGTGTTGCTATACTTTTAAATATTTAACATAGACTCTAAATGGAAATTAACATAGAAACTTGTAGTTTTGCACAATTAAGGGAATCTTTAATTCTTGAAATGTACTGTACTTGTTGTGTTTGTGTTGTTGTATCTATCTGTGTCACACCCAGGCTCGGTTAGCCCACGTGGCAGCAGAAGCAGAGCTGAAGGTTCCCTATGCGGATGAGCTTCCCTCTCGGCAGGCCCAGCTCGCGAGGCTCCAAAACACAGAGGAGTTTGATGTTCTCATTGTAGGAGGAGGTGCCACTGGTGCAGGATGTGCCTTAGACGCTGTCACACGCAGTGAGTGATCTGTCTGCTTTACATCACTCTGCTGGGACCACCATGTGGTAAATGATTATAAACACTCACCCACAATTTCCACATACTCCGTCTGCGCAGCGCAGTGCACTGCGTAGCAGATGCGCTCCCATTCTAGTGGATAGCTGCATTTCAACAGCGCGCGCTGCGCAGCTTCTCTGGAACATCCCAGAAGTGCCACGGCACTCCACCTCGCTTCGTTGGAGATACGCACCAGGTCTTTTTTTCAACGACTGCGCATCCATAGCATGTCAAGCCACGTAGCTCAGATCTCACCAAACCAGGAATAGAACGCACACAGCATCCAATAAATTTCAAAATACAACACAATGCATTTACAGATTGTAAACTGTCAGTTTTTTTAAAAAATCATGTCACATCCTGTCGCACAAGTTGTCATTCAGTGCGAGGGTCCGTGGAAAGATGGATGAGGAGAAACTCATAGTTGAAGTGGAAAACCATTGTATTTTGTATTTTGACTATTGTTTTGGTCGGGCTGACAATTTATCAATTGCTTTTTATCGCATGATTTCGCAGTTCCCATGTGAGCTTGCGGCTCTGCTACGCAGCGTGGCGCTCCAGAAACGCATCCAGTAGGCGAGGGTACGCGCTGTTGGTCGCTCCAGATCCACAGCACAGACAGAGTATGTGGAAATTGCGGGTCATTTAGACCTATTAGTTATGCTCATGGGCAAATATAGAATTTGTGCTACCTTCACTAATTCAATTCAATTTCAATTCAATTTTATTTATAAAGCCCAATATCACAAATCACAATTTGCATCAGAGGGCTTTACAGTATATGACATCCCTCTGTCCTATCAACCCTCACAGCGGATAAGGAAAAACTCCCCAAAAAAACCCTTTAAAGGGGGAAAAAATTGTTGAAACCTCAGGAAGAGCAACTGAGGAGGGATCCCTCTTCCACGATGGATAGACGTGCAATAGATGTCGTACAGAACAGATCAGCTTAATAAATTTACAGTATTCCATATGACACAATGAGACAGAAAAAGAGACAGAGAGAGATGCAGGACAGACAGTAATGACAGTGGCTTACAACAACACTCATTTAAGTAATAATATTGTAATGATAATTACGGCTATTGTGGTACAATATGTTGTAAGTATATGTTAATATATGATAGTATATGTATGTGACAATAATCACATGTGTATAATAACAGTAGAAGTATGACTAATAATAGCAGCAGTAGGAGGCAACAGGCAGGACCACGGCATCAGCACAACCACGTCACACGATCCAGGCACAGCTGCGAGCACAAAGGCTTTGGAGAAGAAGCCGAGTTAGTGACATGCAGTACAGCGGAGTTAGCGAGATGCAGTAACAGGACATGAGTGTTAGCAAAGGAGAGAGAGAGAGAGATAGAGAGAGAAGGAGAGAAGGTGCCCGGTATATTATAGGGGGTCCTCCGGCAGACTAGGCCTAAGTCAGCCTAACAAAACAACAAAAGCATGGACTAATTTTTCTGCATCTTTTTTAGGACAGGATAGGCCTAATTTTTGCAGATGACAAAACGCGTTAAAAGTTAAAAGACAAATGTTGATCAAATATTACTCAGAGGTTTCTTACAATAGAGCTAGAGGCCAGAGCAATGCTTCCAGAGAAACTACATCAGATAAAGAGTTTCTGAGTTGTTTGGGGCCAAGAACAATAACTTTTATGTCTTTAAGGGATTTTTGAAGTTTAGTTAAATGATCCGTGTCTTCTGCCTTTATCGATGAAGACAATTGTGTATCATCCGCATAACAATGGAGATTTAGAGTGATTTCTAATGATGTTGCCTAAGGGAAGCATATTTAAAGTGAACGGATTTGCACAGAACCTTGTGGAACTCCAAAACAAACCTTAGTATGTAAAGATGATTCATCGTGAACGTGAATGAACTGAAAACGATCAGGTAAATAAGATTTAAACCAGCTTAGTGCAGAACCTTTTAGGCAGTGTTCCAGTCTCTGCAGTAGAATTTGATGGTCAATTGTGTCAAACGCCACACTAAGATCTAATAAAACAAGTACAGAGACAAGTCCTTTGTCCGAAGTAATCAGAAGGTCATTTGTAATTTTAACTAGTGCTGTCTCAGTGCTATGATGCACTCTAAATCCTGACTGAAATTCCTCAAATAAATTATTAATATGGAGAAAATCACACAGCTGGTCTGCAACTACTTTCTCAAGGATCTTTGACATAAAGGGAAGATTAGATATTGGTCTATAGTTGGCTAACACCTCTGGATCCAGGGTGGGCTTTTTTAGGAGAGATTTAATTACAGCTACCTTAAAGGACTGTGGTACATAGCCTGTTAATAGAGATATTTTGATCATGTCTAATAGTGCTGCACGATTTGATAAAAATGTGCGATTGCGATTTGAGTGGACAATATCGCCATTTGCGATTGCAGTTACATTATAATACATAAATGGTATCATTAGTCTTCTTGCTTGATTCAGTGTTTCCCCTACATTACATTAGGGGGGCACTGACCTGACCTAACATAGTTATTGTTACGGACAGTGTCTAAAAGACCATCAACAGACTGAGCACAGTCAAACACGTTGATCACACAACAGCGCAGCACTGCACTGTACCTACAGCGGAGCAAGCCTGTGTTGCGTTCAGGTGTTGTCACGTAATTGACAAATTCCAGCAAGTGAATAGCCCATAACACAACACAGCAGCATGTTAAGTGGGCTGAACCCGAGCAAAATTGCTCAATTTTTAATTTGTTATTATAGTTTGTTATGGAGTCCGTGATTTCCCCTTGACACTTAAACATGTTTGCGTAATTGTGCTTGGATGTTGTTTTATGAGGCTCTGGCAGCTTTCAGTTTTCCCTTTGTCTTTAACGTTACACGGCTTGGCTTACGCTCGTATGCATTCTTGCTACTATTCTCTGTGCTGTCAGTGTTGATATAGACTGGTTGTGTTCCCGCGGGACGTGGCGACTTTAACTTTTAAACTTTTACACAGCACGTCTTTCTGTTCAACGTCGCCGTACCTGAATCCAAAGTATTGCCATTTAATAGACGTTTTTTTTGCCACCAACTCAGCCTGTTCATGGTCGTGCTCATGCTCTTCAGCGTCTATGTTGGTCACTGCTGCAGGCCGGGTGGTCACCTGACCATACGTGCTGCACACACCAGGTTAGCTTGTGGGCGTAATGTCAACAAACTCCACACACTACAGCAGAGCAGAGGTAGTCACGTTCAAAGGCACACACGTTAACATTTATTTACATTAAATCGCAAATCACAGCCTTTTATGTGGTTGTGTAATCGCACAGCCTGACATCGCGATTACGATTAGATTAATTGTGCAGCACTAATAATTTGTAAGTGTTAACTAAAGGTAAGACTTCCTTAGCCTAGTTGGGATGGGGTCTAAAAGACACATTGATGACTTGGATGAAGAAATCATTAAGGGTCAGTTGTTAAAGAGTAATGTGGGAGAACCAATCTAAATATATATCAGGTCTTACAGCTGTGTTTGAGGGCAGATATGTACTGTCTGAGGACAGGAGGTCATGAATTTTGCCTCTAATAGTTAGAATTTTGTCATTAAAAAAGCTCATAAAATCATTACTGCTAAGGGCTAAAGGAATACAAGGCTCAATAGAGCTGTGACTCTCAGTCAGCCTGGCTACAGTGCTGAAAAGAAACCTGGGGTTATTCTTGTTTTCTTCTATTAATGCTGAGTAATAGTTTGCTCTGGCATTGCAGAGGCCCCTCTTATACGTTTTGAGACTGTCCTCCCAGACCAAACAAGATTCTTCCAGTTTGGTTAATCGCCAATTCCTTTCAAATTTTCGCGATATTTGTTTTAATTTTTGGGTTTGGGAGCGAACTTTCTTTGCTTCGTTAACTTATTTTTAAGATGTGCAACCGAGTCGAGTGTTGTTTGCAGCGAGCCTGCAGTGCTATCAACAAGAGTATTAAAGTGTTAAATTTAAAGCTGATGGAATCATTTCCTTAAATTTTGCTACAGCACTATCTGATAAACACATAATATAGTAACTGTTGCTGAGTGGCGTGTAATCAAATAGAAAGAAAGCAATAGTTATAAAGTAGTGATCTGACAGAGAGGGAAAGACTAGTAAGTTTTCAATTTCAATTCCATACGTCAGAACTAGATCGAGAGTGTGGTTAAAACAGTGAGTGGGTTTATGTACACCCTGACTGAAGCCAATGGAGTCTAATAATGAGATAAACGCAGAAGGGAGGGAGTCATTATCAACGTCAACATGAATATTGAAATCACAGACAATAATAACTTTATCTGATTTAAGAACTAAACTGGATAAAACTGAGAATTCAGATATAACTTTGTTTCAACAACACTGTAGTTAAAGTGTGTTTATGTTTAGACACAAAAAACACCTCAAAACAACCGCTTTCCGGCCAATATTACAGCAGGGAACACAGCGATATCTCTGTAAAAAACAACTGGTTTTCGTGCAGCTATCTCAGCAAGAAACGCAGTGATGTCTCAGGAAAAACAGTTGTTTATCATCCTGGCCAGAAAGAGCAGCGATGACTCAGTAGAAACAACCAGTTTCCTTGCTACTATCCCTGCAAGAAATGCAACCATGGCTTTTGTTGCACTATTCCTGCTGGAAAAACAACGACAAGTTCCTACAAAACACCTAGATTTGGAGCCTAAAAAGCAGCTGGAAACACAGCAGTGACTTGCTAAATCCAAACTGTTGTGTTGCCAGTTTCTCTTGAAACATAGTCTGCAGTTTGGCAGGCGTCTTGCTGTCCACTATCCCCTTCACCTCCAGATGATTAAGTCAGCTCATATATTAGACTACTTTAGAAACATCGATATGAAACATTCAAATGTAACATATTCATGGTTTGCTGAAACATGCACTGCTAAGATTTCCTCTGGCAACTGGGCTGACTTGTAGTTTAAAAGCATGCCATTTTTTCTATATTTCTATTTATGGTGTTTTGGGGTAAAAGAAATAAAATTATCCTTTGTCTTTTCTTCCCAGACCTCAAGACTGCTGTCGTAGAGAGAAGCGATTTCTCTTCAGGTACAAGCAGTCGGAGTACCAAGCTAATCCATGGTGGGGTGCGATACCTCCAAAAGGCCGTCATGCAGTTAGACTACGAACAGGTTCTCCTTCATCCTCTTATATTTTATTTTCATGTTGATTCGCTGCCCTTTTTTTGTCATTAACTTTCTCTTTCTTTTACCTTAACAGTACATGATGGTGAAAGAGGCCCTGCACGAGCGAGCCAACCTCCTGGAGATTGCACCTCATCTATCTGCGCCGCTACCCATCATGCTTCCTGTTTACAAGTGAGTGTCAGGATTCTTACATGGCAAAAAATGCATAAGACATGTAGTAATTAACATCAGCATCTGAATGTTTGCTGTGGCATATGATGATGTAAAATGAACGGAAAAAATGAGGTTCCCATCTAACTTTAATCACTATGTTAATGTCCAAGATGGTGGCAGTTGCCTTACTACTGGGCAGGGATCAAGATGTACGACCTGGTGGCTGGGATCGAGAATCTGAAGAGCAGCTATGTCCTCAGTAAGACCAAGGCTTTGGAGCTTTTCCCCATGCTGAAAAAGGACAAGCTGGTAGGGGCCATCGTCTACTATGACGGTGAGTCAGAACTCCACAGTACTTCGTCTCAGGCCAGCAGAGACTTTATGTATTATATTTTCACATCGACACTGGTGGTTGTGGACAGTAACCTAAAAACATGCTCCGTTTGTTGATTCATTTCTCAGGTTTTTATTTTCTGTAAACATGAACAAAGCAGCTGAGTCAGTCTTGTTGCTTTTGCCCTTTTACACAGTTTTTCTTGTTCTTTTCCAGTGGTGATAAATTGGATCAGTTAGCTGATGAAAAATAGTATGAAATAACACCATAATTTAGGTACAGCTGGTTCTTAAACACCTGACAGTATGCAGGCTTCTGTGTCAGGCTCGGGGTCACTCAAATGGGTCACAAGACTATCGTAGGAATGGTATTTCCCATATCCTTTGAAATACATGATCAATCACCATTTTAGGTGGTTGATCATGTATTTCTTTATTATTTATTGATTTAAAATGTGATTATAGGACACAATTTGAGAAGGAAAATTCAGTTTGGTTGAGCTAGTCATGTCTTTATGGCACTGACATAGACGTTGCTTTGTTTTAACCCTTAGGGCCTGTTTGACTTTTCCTCTCAGAGTCGTAAATCAGTCAATCTGAACACACAGAAATGATACACACATTTTAATTCACTGTTACTTTCCAAGAATATCAATCTGTCTGATGGATTAACTCCATAAATCCACTCCTAAATGTCAGATTTTCCCCAAGAGTCATCATGTTCCTAGGTTTTCTTTAGTGTCAAAGTAATTCAGTGATAATTGTCTGTACATCAGCAGTAAAATTTCAAACAGAAACTACTAATAGCTAATCCAGCACACTTTAAAAAGGTGCCAGAATATAAATGGCTAAAAAACAATGTGTCCATGTTGTATCTGTGAATCTGTGGAAACATTATACTCACTGCTGGCTTTCCTGAAATCATTTTGGGTGCTGTAGTTCCAAATCATGATTACCCTCCAAATATAAATCATAAAAAAGGTAATGATATAAGTGACAAAAACATTTATGTTGGCTTACATTTTTATGTCTCAGCATCCGGTCTGTCTGAATGAGGAACGAGATATCTCAACAAGATCTTGAGGAAATTTCTATAAATTTTGCACAAGCGTCCACTTGGACTTGGACAATGACCTGATTAGAATTTGTGGTCATAGGTCAAAGCAAAACATGTTTTTGGCCATAACTTCATACACTAATTATGACAGAATTTCATACAAATGTCTCAAAGTGAGTGATGACTTTTTATATCCAAAAGGTCAAAGTTTAACTTTACTGTGACATCATAATTTTCAGCAAAAATGCTTTTCTGGCCATGATTCAACATCGTATCTACAAAAAGGGAGATATGTGGTCAGATATTTCATTGGGGACTCTAGTCTTGGGTGTCCACCTTGAAACTGTGCTGGGTTGAAGATGTGTGTGAAGCATCAACGTTTTAGAATTTGTAGCTTCTTTGCAGCAGCATCCATATTTAAAGCATTGTTTACTGTCTTTGCTACATATAAGTCTGGACAGACATGGAAATATACTGTGACTTCACTGGTTGGCAGGGGCATACAGCTGCGGGTTTAACAATTGTAAGCTCTAACCCTAACCCTTATGACAATTTTGTCATAAAAAACAAAACAAAAAAACAACAGCATTCTGAGTTGTCAAATAAGATACTGCATAGGTGGTTAAGGTTTACAGCAACTCTGCCAAAGAAATGAAAACTGCAAAAAAACAAAACAAGGATTCAAAGATTATATTATTGATTTATGACATATTCATAAAAATCATTACCTGTTTTATGAAACCAGTACCCAGTTTATTAAAGCTTTTAGTACAGTCTCCTCTGACGTTCAGTCTCACTTACAACTGCAGCATCAACACCAATGAGCACTTAGACATGAAAACAATGCAATATTTAAAAAAAAGGAAAGAATTTTAACTTGTTTAAGGAAATTCTGCCTCTGAATGGATTGTAATATTAAGGAAATAGTGTAGAATTTATATGATTAAGCCAAACAGGAGATGAAAAAGGGCCTCAGATGTAAATCTTTCCCTGTGGCCTTCATCTCTACTGGTGCCGAACAAAAAGTGTTGACACGCTGGTCAGATGCCCTCACTTCCCTGTGGCAGTGAAGGCATTTTGAAGAACATTTTGAGTATTGGCTTGTCATTTCTGATGACAACAGGCTGCCAATCTTTATTTTTTAAATTTCTCATGCGGTATCAACTTGGCGTAAATATGAAAAGCTACATAACTGGGACATTAAGTGGCACGCCCAAACTCCTTTATTTCATAATCCCGCATTACGTAAGGGAGCTTCCTGTTTTGTATCTTACCAGTGATCCAACTCAGGTTTACATACTTTAGGGGATGTCATGGATACTAATGGTCTCAGACCCTTTTTTCCAGATCTGAAAGATTATTATAATTTGCCTCGCTCCTCTTTCTTTTTACACTTACTTTGCTCAGCCATGCGGGCCTATGGCATTCCCTGGTCTCAACCACCCTACCATCCTTTATTTATTTTTGTTAAAAAAATACCACCTGCCATCCAAGCTTGGAATTTCGATCTTGACGCACAACATCATATAAACTGGGACAAAGTCTGGGGAAATATTTATATGGCATCCCGAAACCTAAATCATCAGCTGATTAATTTTAATTTCGCCCATAGAACTTATTTAACTCCCCAAAAATCCCATAGAATGAAATTATCACATACACCAAATTGTTTACTTTGCCCTTTAAATGTAACCGGTACTTTCTTACATATGATGTGGGAGTGTCCCATGGTTAAATCTTTTTGGGAGCAAGTTTCTAACTATCTTTCTACAGTATTACAAATAAATATACCTCGCGCCCTGAAAATGATGCTCTTTAATGATAACGATGTATTAATGCTAAATTCATATCAAAGACGTTTTTGGCTAGCAGGAAGCACAGCAGCAAAAAAAATGTTAGCACTCAGATGGCAACCTCCTCATACTCTGTCCCTTAACCAATGGAAACAATCACTTGCAGACATTGTTTTATTAGAATTATCCACAGCAAGATTAAATGGTGCTAGTCAGCAAACAATAGAGAGTTGGAATTCCATTTTAGATCACGTTAAGACCTCTATCTCATAAAGTTAGGTTCTTTGCTATGTAAACAAGACGCCCAATTTACTGTACTTTACTTCTCGTTATAGGTCCATATATTTAAGTTTTTATTTTATTTTATTTTATTTTATTTATTATTATTTTATTTATTTGTTTTCATTATTATTATTAGTGTTATTATTATTATTATTTTTTCCCCTAAATTATTTATTTATTTTCCTGTGTTTTTTTTATTTTTTATTTTTTATTTATACATTGGTGGTTGGCTGTGGGAGGGAAAGGATGGGAGGTTGGGGATTTCAATGTGGTGAGGTTTTTTTCGGGGGTGGGGTGGGGGTGTGTGTGTGTGTGTGTGGGGGGGGTGATCTTGATCTTTACCTTGACATAATCATCTTGTTGAGCTGGTTGTATATGCAATATGTATGTTGGTACTGTTTACATATTAAGAGAGGCAGGATTGTTTTGTCTGCTCTGTCTTTGTTTCCTAATTGGATGTTATCAATTTTCTTTTCTTTTTTTTCTTTAGTTCAAGAATACCAGTGAACATTTCTTCCAGTGTGACAAATGTATAGCATGTGAATGCTCTGAGCGTAAAATATGGTAATGTTTTGTTCTTTTCTTTCATTATTGTTTATCTACCTCCCTGGGGAAAAAACAACTAAAAAATAATAAAAAGTTGGTCACCAAAAAAAAAAAAAAAAATTCCGATGCCGCTTAAAGAGGCTTTTAACGTCTCTTATTTATGGTATTCAACAGTTAGACACAAAGATACCCTTCAAAATCTGTGTCATTAATAGCAAAAAAATACTTATGCTGCTTTTTAAAGATTGTAACAAAATGAACCATGGAAATGTGGCTTTTGTTGATTTTATGAAAGAAAATAAATCCACCAAATTCCATGTTCAAATTCCATGGAAGCAATTAGCAAACTTTAGAATTAATTAACATGTTATTATACTTGCACACTAAATATTGAGTTTGATTTTTAAAATCAAAACAAACAGCCTTTGTACTCTCTAAATATAAAATATAAGAGGCCAGATATGACTGGATTGACTGCAGACTGGAAAAAGGGAAGAGCATTTTCTTGGTGCAAAGCAGCATATGTTTGATTTCCACCCCCAACCCCCGCCTGCCGCCATCATCTGCTCTGAGGGGGGACAGGGCCGAGATGGTGATGGTGGAGGGGTGGGGTGTCTTTTCTCCAATTATGCCGTCTGGAACAATCACGCCGGTGACATTTCGAAATCTGACCTTCTCTCCCGGCGGTGTAGAGCGCAGAGGAGCGTCGTAGACGGTCAGACCGGCTGAGCAACAGCTATTTCCTCCGCTGTCTTGGTTACTGCAGCTCCTGCTGCCACCAACTACAGCAGAAGCTTTTTTATTCTGCAGCAAATGTGTAGGCCTAATGCTCCTGTTTTCATTTGGCTGGGTGGTATATTTGTTTAAATGGCCTGAATGCTCTGGGAAATTAAACTACAGTGTGTTAATGCTGCTGTAGGTACAACAGACATGTCTCGTCTTACAGGGAACGGTACTGTGAGTGTTCACTGGTGAAAATATTGATATTGCAACCCATTTTTGTTAAAAACCAGACATAAAAGATCACATCCTCTTGAAATTTGAAACATTTTCATGCAACTGAATCTCTGTTTCTACAATAAAATGAGCTGTAGAGACAAAGAATAAAAAAGAAATTATATTTTTGTATGTATAATAACAGGATAAAATGGCTAATGAGCCTCTGTAGCAAATGTTTTGACAGTAGCAGATGTTGGTATGGTGACTTGCATTAGCTGTGGTAACCTGTGCACTGGGGAATACACTGGAAACAGTCAGTGATGATACAAAGAGAAACAGGAGAGCCATCAAATGCAGAAACATGAGTAAAAGTATGCTAACATAATACTAAACAATAACGATCTGCTTATGCTATTCATAAAGAGTACTGAACGTGTGATCTTCTCACGTAATGATATATATAAAAGACCAACAATATTTGCAAGGGTGGACATGTTGAGACATGATAATCTGGAGGTAGACCACTAAATGGGGTTGCAACAATATATTTTCACAGTACAATAACGGTTTCACGGTATAACAGTGTTACACAATTATTATTATCAGTTTCAATGACTGGTAAATTTCCAGTAGGATTCCTGGAAAATGTCCTTGAAAATTTCTTATACAGAAAAATAGATATTTATTTTATTTTATTTTATTTTATTATTTTATCTTATATTTCCAGGAAATTTACATAAATTTCCTGGAAATTGACATGAATTTCTGGAAAATCTCTAGAAAGTTTCAAAGGGCAGTTCAGAATTATGGGATTTTATTTTATTTTTATTTTTTTGTTTGCAAAATTTCAATTTAGAAAGTATAACTTTTAATAGTGAACTTATTTTCAAACTTATTCCTGAAAAATTTCCAGTAAATTTCCCAGAATTATTCTGTAAACTTGGTTGAAAATATTCCATAAGTTTTCAGCATTTTTTCCCCCCATTTTTCAAGAAATTCACAGTACATATCCTTGAAATTTCCTGAAAGATAAACTAGAAAAAATTTACCTGGAATTTCCAGAAAATTCTCAAGGAAGGTTCAACTCAGGAATTTTATTCATTTTTTTCTCTGCAAAATTTCAATTAAAAAAGCATACCTTTTAATAGTGAACTTATTTTTAAGATTATTATTGGAAAATTTCCAGTTAATTTCCCAGAATTTTTCTGTAACCCTTGTTAACAATGTCCTGTAAATGTTTCAGCAAATTTTCTGTGACGTTTTTCTGGAAATTCCCAGTACATTTCCTGGAATTTTCTTAGGAAGATATCCTAAGAGAAGTTTAGCTTGGAAATTTAGGAATTTTTGAGCAGTTTCAATTAAAAAAGTGTGTCTTTTAATAGTGAACTTATTTTGGGGGAACATGCACATAAAAAACAGATGTTCTTATGCTTTGGTTGTGGTATGCCCATTTAATTGAATTGCACTAAATAATCAAATGATTAAGCATCAATATCAAATGAAAATGTACAACATACAAAAATAAATGTCTTACAAGTGAGGTTTGCATTAAACAAACCTTTGTACTTTGCAGTCATCCAGAAGTGCGCAATGGTTTTATTGAAGTAATTTAGTAAAATCCGGGCTGGATTATGAGTTTGATATAATTTCATCATTACTGGGACATCTTGATGTACATTTGTCTTTCTTTGTTGCAGGTACATTGCCAGCTAGTCAGCGTCCTGTAGCTTGCATTTTGTCACTGCCAGTTTTCACACCAAAAGCCTTAAATGTCAAGTAAATACAGTACACATAAAATAGTGTGTAATTACTTCCTGTGTGAATCAGTCTGGGTAAATCTTCCTGGACCCCTCCATCTTTCTCCCTCTCTGTCTCCTTCAGGGCAGCACAATGATGCACGCATGAACCTGGCCATCACCCTCACTTCTGCCCGCTACGGCGCCACCGTCGCCAACTACACCGAGGTGGTCCGCCTGCTGAAGACAAAGGACCCACAGACCGACAAGGAGAAGGTTTGTGGCGCCCGCTGCAGGGACGTCCTCACAGGTGAGGCATGCAGGGATTGCGTGGTTTTAAAGGGCTGCCGAACCAGTTAGATAATGTCGTGTGTTATGCTGAAAGCATGAACAGAATTCATTTTGAGTCTCACTGGAGCTACCTGCAAGTGTTGAGGGGCTATTCTTCTGTCTATAATGTTTAACAAATTATACTGCAAATAAAATATCAGTTGATTTTAAAATGATGGACTTATTATCCACTTAAAGTGATAAAAAGTAGAACTGATTGTGCCCCTGATTCGATCAGTACTGCAACCCTGGGACCACCAGTGATCTCACGCAAAATGACTGCCCTTCAGAGGCTGTAGCAGGCATAGTTTTGAAGCAAGTGAAGATACTGATGTCATATGAAACTATATCACCTAAGGCATCCATTGGTACCAACCATGTCATGCTAGCTTGTAGGGAAATGGGCTAAATAACGCTCCAAATGTAGGCTAAATTTAATTTTTTTTATGGGTACCCACTAGGGTTGGGATCCGGATCCGGTTCTTTTTTGGAACCGGGTCCAAAGTTCTGGTTCTGGAACCGGTTCCATCACATTTGGCATAACGGTTCCTGCAAACGATTCCTAGATTGTAAAAAACAAAACAAAAAAAAAAACCGTCACGTGCATTTCCATTAGAGTGCGACACGGGCCGCATATTTCTGTCCGAACCTGACCGAGCCCGACATTATCTAATCACTAAAGCACTGAGTTTGTGTCACACAGTTGTCATGGTTACAGGCTATTTAACAGGCCGGGCGTGCGTCAGGTGCTCAGCGGATAGGGAGACCTCCGTGTTTGAGACAGGAGCGGGTGACGGGAGTGGGCGACGGGAGGTCCGACGCTTCCAGCGAGGGGAGCGGTAGAAATATAACAAAATTAAATAAAATAGGACACACCTGTCTCCTATTTTATTATACTGTGCAACAGTTAGAATAACGTTTTTGTATTTGTATGATTGCATTTGTGTTTATTATATACTTGTTTAAGTATAGCAAGTATAATGAATATAATGTAGGAATCGGTAAGAGGAATCGGTAAGGAATCGGACTGTTAAGAAGGAATCGGTAAGGAATCGGAATCGTTAAAATCCTAACGAGTCCCAACCCTAGTACCCACAAGTCTCCCCTTTACAGACATGCTCCCTAAGTACAAATGTGTTGTTTCTGCCTATTGTATTTGAATATTTCTGCATACTGGGGTCTCTAAACAGTCTTTGAAGTGCTTAAATTGGGTATGACTGCAAAGCTGAGACCCTTGCGGATACAGTGAGCCCAATTGTATTTATATGTGATGAGGTTAGTCCCCATAGTAGCCATTTTGTTGTGGTAAGACCATGTTTTTTTTTTTCCAACAGATCTCACTGTATTACGTGACTTATTGTGGTGTCAAGAATAATCACAGCTTCATGAAACTTTAGAACCACAATCTAGAGAGCTCGGGCATACAGAGGACGCATGGCTTTCTTATGTAGATTGAATATGAGGGGTTTTCTTAGTAGTTTTCAGAAAACCAGTGCTCTCCATCCAAGTGCTGAAAAATGCGATTCTTACAGAAATCTCCAAGTGTCAGAAGTTTTTCATACTAAATAACAACATGGATTTTTCTGTGGTGTTCCAAGCCGATGGTTGGCCATCAGTCAGTGTTCAGCCACTAGTGAGTGGATGTCTCCCTGGTCTTTGCACTGTTTCCTATACCGTCGACCCCCATGAGCTTTTTTGTCCCCCAATTCAGTATTTTGAATCGGCGTCAGAGAAGGCGGAGTCCACTAGTGAATGAAATCACTCTGATTCAGTTCATGCAGTTCAGCTCAGTCTGTAAGAAGAGAAACAAAAACAAACAGCTTAAGTTAAGAGGGAGTGAGACCAAAACAATCTTGTTATATAAAGTGAGATTGTTTTTCTTTATCCATTGAGCTTTTAAGCAGAAACGTTTTGTGATGGTTTATGTTATTGTTCATTGGTGCACGGTAAATTTGCTTTGTTCATTCAATGTTGGATTGAATTGTCAACTACCGTCGAGACAATTTTCCAGTTCCCCTTTTTAAATGACGAACACAGACTATCACCGCCTGCTGGTATGGAGAGTTATTCCCTCTTACACAGGAGCAGAATGTATGGTACTCATGTGCAACTTTTTGGCCGAGACACAGTCAACATGAGGCAACACAACAGTCAGCTTTCAATGCGGCTAGTTCTCTGAGGGTTTGGTTTTTTTGTGTTTGGGCCTTTGATGTGGTATTTTATTCCTGACCGGTCATAAATTTTAAATTTAGCACAAAATCTGCGTAACAAATGGTATCAATCCTGATGAGACACAGTTAAGCATGGGAATGGCCATCATATATGTTCATCATAATGTTCTAAGCACTTATACACTCTAAACTTTCCAGGTTTGAAGAGGCACCTAACCAAACACAGTGTTTATTACATATTTATGGCTAGAAGAATATGACACAATGCTGAGCTACATCTTAAATTATTCATCGGGTTCTCAGCTTTCAGATGATGTATACCACTTCTGTGTGACATATACAGTTGATGTGTTATGTCCCCTATAAGATCCCCTGTCCCCAACTAAAAAACACAAAATGGCTCTAAATTATGTGATCAGTGAAAGGTGTGCACATTCTACTTTTTACAATAATACATACTTTTGTGTGAGATGCATTCAAGTTTAAGTCATGCCTGTTACTTTTACACTCTTTTCTTACATGAATAAAAAACAGAAGCTACTGACTTTTCTTTGTCTTTTGAATGCCATGGGTATTTTCTCCTCACAGGACAGGAATTTGATGTGAAGGCCAAGTGCGTGATCAACGCCACCGGACCGTTCACAGACTCACTAAGGAAGATGGACAACCAGGAAATCCAAAACATCTGCCAACCCAGCGCTGGTGTTCACATCGTCATCCCTGGTTACTACAGGTGTGACATATCACACTCTCAGTATATCCTTTAAGATGATTTTTATTTCAGTTGTGGAGATGTTTGATGTTTTTTTTGGTATTTCAGATGCTTAAACTCGTACATATTTAATTCTCAGTGTTTTCTCATTCTTATGTGTAAATACTAAACTATTATCTGACCTATACATACATGCGTAGGACAATCTTCTTTGGTTAAGATACAGCGGAGCAATAGAGTGGTTTTGTTGAAGTCGGGGGTTTTAAAGTTCAGCAAAGCTTATTGAGCGAAACCCGAGGGAGCGCGAGCCCTTTGAACAGCACCAGAAATGCCAACCACCTAATTCTCCTCCTCCTGCCGCTATCTGCGCCCTCCCCTCCTCCTCTTTCTCCCCGATATCTGTGTTTTTCCATTTGTGTGCTCCTCAATTTGTCCCTCTCTTCTTCTTACTCCCACATATTTGTACCTTTTCTTTTCTCTCTCTTTTCCTCTAAACACTTAAACTTTTCCACAAACTTGAGACAGTAAAGGTAACAAATTCGATGTAATACAATGCTCTTACTTCAGCTACCTCGCGTGATAATAATAATCCTTTTCCTATATTTTCTATCCCACAGTCCTGACAACATGGGTCTGCTCGACCCGGCGACAAGTGACGGACGTGTCATCTTCTTCCTGCCCTGGGAAAAGATGACCATCGCTGGGACGACCGACTCACCCACCAGCGTGACGGCCCACCCAATCCCAGGGGAGGACGACATCAACTTCATCCTGAGGGAGGTCCGCAACTACCTCAGTCCTGACGTAGAAGGTATGGGTAGTCTGCAGGGAGTCTTTTCTTGTCAATTCTGAGGAGCATACAGTCATGTTTTGGGTTTTTATGCCTTCATGCCGGCGACAGCTGTGACCAGATTATGTTTTTGGGTTGTCTGTCCATCCATCTGTTTGATGTTTGGTGGTCAAAGGTGACCTCACAAGAAAGTTTTTGGCCATGACTCAAGAATTCATACGCTAATTTTCACACGAATGTATAATAGGAGGTGGCACAGTGGTGCAGTGGTTAGCATTGTCACTTCACAGCAAGAAGGTTCCTGCGTGGGTTTTCTCCAGGTACTCCGGCTTCCTCCACAGTCCAGAGACATGCAGGTTGGGCTAAATGGTGACTCTAAATTGTCCATAGGTGTGAATGTGTGTTTGAATGGTTGACTGTCTCTATGTGTCAGCCCTGTGTAGGGAACATAAATTAGGCATCACACTGAGGCACCAATTATGTAGGGATAAACAATGGTGAAATTTGGCACCCCTTCCTCGATCCACATTCTAATATGATTGTATCTGAGAGGTTTCCGTTTATTTTTTATCCAGGCTGATAGCTTACTGTATAATGTACGTATTTTCTTAACAAAATTTGCGTGCCTGCCAAATCTCTGGAGGACCACATATAAAAAAGGCCAGCTCACTGAATCAAAGGGCTTCTCGGCATCTAGACTGACCAAGGAGGCTTCAAGATTGCTCTGCTGAATATGGTTTAATATGTGTAATGTTCGCCTGATATTATCATGAGTTTGTCTTTGTGGGGACAAAGCCAGTCTGGTCGTTCTGTATAAGCTGGGGAAGGATATTTTTCAATCTTTTAGCAAGGATGGCAGTGTATAATTTATAATCAACATTGAACACAGAAATTGGCCTATATGATCCATATTCTAATTTGTCTTTTCTTTCTTAAGGGATAACCGAGATCACTGCCTCACTCCATGATTGGGGCATTTTAGAATCCGTTAAGGCTGTATTGCGCACTTTAAGAGGGCTTGGCATAAACTCAAAAGTATTATATAGGCCGGGTGATTTGTTCGCTTTAAGCCTAGAGATGGCACTGTTAAGCCCTTTCTCAGTTACCATAGCTGTTAATTTTTCAATTTTTTTCTTCTGTTATGACAGGTAAGTTGAGAGAATTGAGAAATTTGTTCCTCACCCTCTAAGTGTGGTTGTGTATTCAAAAGCTTGTAATAATTTGTAAATGTTCTTAGTATTTCATCTTGTTTATACTGTGTAGTTAGTGTTATCTGCTCTTTGTTTTTGTTGCTTTTGGGCTAGAGGTTTTATTGATTTTGAGCCTGACTTGTAGTATTTCTGCTTTGTAAACCGTTTTTTTTTTTTTTTTTTTTTACAGTTTCCTGTAAATATAACATATTTATTTCATTTTGAATTGTCTTTATTTTTGTCAACAAGTCGGGTTTCTGTTCCCTTTTATGCTGCGACTCAAGATCTTTCAATTCTCTATTGAGGTCCGTTAGTCTTAATTGTTTTTCTTTCTTCTGATGGGCACAGAAAGATATAATTCTGCCCCTGATGACTGCTTTTAAGGTATCCCATACTATAGCTGAATCAACCTCCTTCTCACAATTTTCTTCGAGAAATGTTTTTATTTCTTTTCTTATCTTAGTCTTAAATTGTGGGTTGTTTAAGATATTTGTATATAGCCTCCACAATGTTCTTCCCCAGTTGCCGTTAATATGTACAGTGCAAGAGACAGGTGCATGGTCAGATAAATCAATAGATCCAATATGACAGACCTAAATCTATGGCGCTCTCTCTTTAACACAAAGAAATAATCTGTTCTTAAATATGTATCATTGGGAGGATGAATAAAAAATATAATCATGGCCAGAAGTGTAAAAGTCTGTTCAGAGCTCTGTCATTAAAACATTAATTTTCCTATGCAGTGGTGTAACAGTTTAATTTTTTTGATGAGTCTAATTTTGGATCAAGACGGATATTCCAATCTCCCCCACATATGACAGTTCCTGTGTTCCCTATCATAAAATCAAACATTTTTCTATAAAAGGCTAATCACTTCCAGGAGGAGCATGAATGTTACATATTGTTACTACAATGCCATCTATTTTCCTGAAAATATTATATATCTTCCTTCCTTGTCTGTTGTCTCTGAAAGTTGTTCAAATGATACTTTCTGTGACAAAATTGCTATGCCTCTTCTCCGGCCTGATTTATACGATGAATAATATATCCTTGAAAACCCCATTCTCTGAAGTTTTTCGTGTTCTGATGGAGTAAGGTGTGTCTCTTACAAGAACACAATCTGTGCATTTTCCCTTTTCATTTTTGACAGTATTTGGCTTCTCTTTGCTGGGTTTGAGGTCCCTTTCACATTGAAAGAAGTAACTTTAAGTGCTTGCTTATTCATAAGCAGATCATGGCCAGACTGGTTTAGAACACTTTCCAAGGCAGAGGCTCGTTTCAAAAGAGGCTTTTGAGTCTTCATAAGGTCATGGTCCTCGGAAGGGAAAAACCCACATTGCATCAGTGGTGGGGCCCTAAAATGTGGTTGCGTATGGCCGTAAGTCCAAATAAAATTAAGATAAAACAAAACTGTGGATAACTTGCCAATTAACAAGTCCCGACTCATTTAACTGGATAGACATTATAACTGCAGGAAACCTACGTACCAGTGTGTGAGAGCTCCGTGTTGGTCTTTAAGACAAGAAAAATAAAGAAGAGGTGAGTCACTCAGGAATCATAACTTATCTGCATTTATAATACCACTGTACACCATCAGTCTTTTATTGTGGGGATCGCCTTTTAAATTCCTTTAGTTTTTCCTTGTATTGAGAGCAATGTTTTTTCTTGGGTTGTGTGTAGTCACCCATTACGCTTGGTTCCTGATCTTCACTCCGGTTGCGCCATCTCCCGTCACCTGCCAGGTGGACAGGAGTCGGATCTCCTCTTCATCTGGAGAAATGGAGGACCTCACCACCGTGACTGGGAATCCTTGGGAAGCCATATCCCTCATCGCTTCTGCAGCGTCTTGGAACTGTCAGGTGCCATCATTATAGGCCAAGATGACCCGCAGCCTTGCAGGATGCGGCGTTTGAAACTTTGTTTTTCTTTCAGCAATTTCTTGGCTTCGGCGTATCCACCGCGTTTCTTAAGCACCTTGGAAGGGTAATCATGGTCAACATAAAAGCGCACTTTATCACAGAACACCTCTTTTTTCTGCCGTGCTCTCCCGAGGACCTCTTCCTTCGTCCGGTAACTCCTGAACTTGACCATTATAGACCGGGGCTTTGCTTGCAGGCTGCTCGGCTTTGGTGCAAGTGCTCGGTGTGCTCGCTCAATTCCGAGCTCCTTTTCATGAGGGAGGTCGAGCACGGTTTGGAACAAGTTACCCAGAAATCCAACCATGTTGGTGCCCTCTTTTTCCTCAGGTATTACGTAAATCCTTAACTTTTCTCTCCGCACTCGACCCTCCTGATCTTAGCCTGGCATCCAGATTAGTGTGGCGCTGCGTTAGCCGCTTGATTAATGTTGATGCTGCTTGAAGCACGGTCTCCGTCTCATCAATTCTCCCCTCTGCCTCGTCCAGTCTTTCGTTTGCTCTCCTCAGCTCTCGTTTGATATCTGAGAGTTGTACTCTGTTATCTCCTCTAAACTCCTAAAGTTCATTGAGAATGTTCTGCAGACTCGTTTCGGGGCCTTCCTCATCTTGTAGGTAGTGGTCTGGAGAGCTGCTTCAGCTAATATCTCCTTGCCTCTGTTCAGGATTGTTTTGCATCATGTTTATGGTTGTCCTACTCCTGGTAGTAACCCCTCTGTCCATTATTAAGCAGAATATACACTTTATAAGCAAACTTTAGTTTATAAGGTACACCTTGCTTGTAGCTGGTTGGACCCCCATTTGCCTTCAGAACTGCCTTAATTCATCATGGCTTTTTGTCATCTTGAACCAGTCTGGCCATTGTCCTCTGACCGCTGGCATCAACAAGGTATTTTCACCCAGAGAACTGCCGCTCACTGGATATTTCCTCCTTTTCGGACCAGCTTCTGTAAACCCTAGAGATGGTTGTGTGTGTGAAAATCCCAGTAGATCAGCAGTTTCTGAAATACTCAGACCAGCCCATCTGGCACCAACAACCATACCACATTCAAAGTCACTTAAATCACCTTTCTTCCCCATTCTTATGCTCAGTTTGAACTTCAGGGGGTCGTCTTCACCATGTCTACATGCCTAAATGCACTGAGTTGCTGCCACATGATTGGCTGATTAGTTATTCGCTTTGATGAGCAGTTGAACAGGTGTACCTAATAAAGTGGCCGGTGAGTGTATATATCTTACTATATAATGACGAAAACTCTGTGTGTGTGTGTGTGTGTGTGTGTGTGTGTGTGTCTGTTTCACGTTCTTCTCCTCACTGACTTGGTCAATCCATGTGAAATTTGGCACAGTGGTAGAGGGTCATGGGAGGATGGGAATGAAGCAATATTACATCAATTGGCCAAAGGGGGGCGCTATAGCATCTGATTGAAATTGCAAACTTTGAATGTGCATATCTCATGCACCGTATGTCGCAGAGACATGAAACTTTGCACAGAGATGCCTCTCCTCATGAAGAACAAATTTGCCTCAAGAACCCATAACTTCCACTTATATAGATTTTCCACCATTTTGAATTTTTTGAAAAACGCTTAAAATCGATCTCTTCCTAGGAAGTTTGACCGATCTGCATGAAACTGGGTGAACATAATCTAGGGACCAATATCTAAAGTTCCCTCTTGGCAAAAGTTGGAAAACTGAGCTTCTATAAGGCAATAAATATTGCGGAGGGCGTGGCTCATCACATAAAGGTGTATAACATCTCAAGGGTTTCACCCATCACCACGCAACTTTGTAGGCATATGACCACACATAATCTGAGGGGACCCCTCCATTATTGACCCCATCAAACAAAATGGGGGCACTAGAGAGCTCATTTCTTATCTAGGCCTAACCGCCATATGGATTTTTACTAAACTTGGTAGATATGTAGAACAGGATGCCTCAAGGTTACTGGAGAAATTTCAATCAATCAATCAATCAGTTTTATTTATAAAGCCCAATATCACAAATCACAATTTGCCTAACAGAGCTTTACAGCATATGACATCCCTCTGTCTGTCCCTCGCAGCGGATAAGGAAAAACTCCCCAACAGAAAAATGCTTAAAAATGGCTAAAATATGACCAATCCCTCTGGCTCCTCCTGTGGCCGAATGTTTTTTTTTTTTTTTTTAATTTTTGGTATGACTAAGTCATGGTATGGTATGCTGTACATAATCACGGAAACTGTCAATGTGTCATACTGTCAGTCAGTCATTCTACCAGTGCACCCCACTTTTAAGTCAATACACTTTAACTATCTGCCTTTCAACGTGCTACCTCAGCTACTAATGTACAGTTTTAGCCCACTAACTATCCCACTATTGGCAATGGTACTACTGTACTTTCAATCAAGCAATCATACTATCAAATTCACAAAAACTCTGTCTGAATACAGCGCTTCTTAATGGGTTCAGTTGACTATTTAATCTGCAATTTCCTATGACCTGTATCCCAAACACACACCATGTGAAACTGTACGTGGGCAACTGTGCACTCAATGGGTATGGACTAGTATTGTTTTATTATGACTAATAAAACCAAAACCCTCACTACACACCAATAGGAGTGTAGGAATTTGGGGGGGGGGAGCAATTACAGTAAATGAATTAAAAGTTTTAACAATTAAAAACATATTATAAATCAGTGAGTTTAGCCAGAAATATGGAGTTTCAGTAGGCTCACTGCTTATGATGTGTTCACATCGAATGTGATGGGAGTGTTTTGCATGTCAAGATTACACATAAAGTCAAGATGTCAGATTATGCCTTGCAGTTGGTGTGAACACATCATTATGTATTCAAATTCAAGATACCAAAAAACACCATTGTTGTGGTTAAGCATAAATATATAGGTGTATGTTTGTATAAATTCTCACTTTAAAAGGGTCTACAGAGGTCCGTGGATATGCGTAGACAGTTCAGTCCTGATCTTATTTTCTTATCTTATTAATGCCGCTCTCAGTCTCACATTTATCTGGTGTTCAGAGTTAAGTATCTTGGTTAAAACGTGACTGTGTTCTGCAGTGCGCCGAGGAGATGTGTTGGCGGCATGGAGTGGAATCCGTCCCCTGGTGACCGACCCCAGTTCTAAAGACACTCAGTCCATCTGCAGAAACCACATCGTCAGCATCAGTGACAGTGGACTGGTCACCATCGCTGGTCAGTTTTTGGATTATCTTGTGAAAATGCTCCACCAAAGCTTCCGCATATTAAGGTGAATATTTTGTGCGTCAGGTGGGAAGTGGACGACCTACAGGGCCATGGCTGAAGAGACTCTGGACGCAGCAGTCAAATCCCACGGCCTCTTAGCTGAGCCCTGTAAGACTGTGGGTCTGATGCTGGAGGGAGGCAAGGGCTGGACGCCTACCCTCTACATCCGCCTGGTGCAGGACTATGGACTGGAGAATGAGGTAAAACACATTTGTACATTACAAACCACTTAAGGTTGCTTTAGCACACTCGCTGGGGTTTCATAAAGTTATTTTAATTTGTACAGATATTTCTCACAGTTCCCTGCTTACAATAACATCAAAGTTGTTGCAGCTCCAACCTTCTATTTAGTGGGCAACAAATAAGTTCTAAGTTTACAGTATGTTTCTATTTTTAGCATCAAGTTCCTTTTTTGTTTTCAAGTTGGCCCTTTGCTAAGCCCTGCCCCTTTGTGATGGTCCGTCAAGCTGTCAGAGTAAGCATGGAGCCCACACCATAACTAACTGCACTCCCTGAAGAAATATTATCATAGTTTTGGAAATAATGAAACAGTGATTCCAGGGAGAAGCAGACAGAGGGGTCTGCAGTCTGTGTTTGAAGGATATATCCAGGATGCCATCTGACTCAGCAGCAAAGACAAAGATAGTTAGAAGCTAAAGCCGAACTATAGGCTACAGATCACAGTGTAAAAGTGAACCACTACATCACTGATGATTGCGACAGAAGACAATGAATATAAAAGGAAACATTGCCGATATTGAACCAGCTGTGTGGCATTGCAGTGTGTGCAGATGAACAGTGTTTGGCTCCATCCCCATGCTGCTGTCAGCACTGCTGGACGGGCACGGATCTCTGGGGGAAGTCAAACAATGTTTATCTACGCACAGTGTGATGACACACAGCTGGTTTAATATCAGCAAAGTTTCCCTGCTTCCCTTCACTGGTTCCTGTACAGCAGGGTTGGCCTTTTTTTCACTGTTATATATCTTCAGTAGCTAGCTAGCTAACCCTACACTTTTCAGGGTTTGATTTTGGTTTTGGAACAGGGAAGAAACGTATATCTTTTTCCAACCTCAGGTAACGAGTATCATTACTACAACAACAACAACATGCCCCAGGAACAACATTTAGCTTGAAATGGGGCAGATCAATATTGTTAAAGTGAAAAACATCAGTTTATGATTTTAGTACGATTTCTGAGCAACTGCTGCAGAGCTGGAGAGTAACTAAGTACATTTACTGAAGTACTGTACTTTAGTATTTCCATTTGATGCTACTTTGTACTTCTGCTTTACATGTCAGAGAGGAAGTTTCATTTAAACATTTATTTCAGCGTAATAGTCACTTTTCAAATCAAGATTTTAAAAACAAAACATGATAAGTTTCTGAAATATGCCTTTCTGCAAATAAGGTGAAATTCACCAATGGCAGTGACAAATGTTTTTCTGGTGTGTCATGTCTATTTCAGCGCAGGCTAAAAAGCAGGTTCTGAGACTAGTGTCTTCCTGTCATCCCAGGGACAATAGAAAACATGTTCGGGATAAACAGCGATCTTCCCTGAGACACCTTCAGGACACAAGGACGCAGTAAAGTCAATATTGATGCATCAGAGGACACACCTTATTGTTTCCCTGATAATAATTCCCTGATGAGTTCAGGCCCATTTTCCACACAGGCCACTGTTGTAAAAGAGATGTCTGTAAAACTGTTGACAGGATACCTCAAACTGCAAACAAGGTCAGTTATGACTATCTATGATGAATTTTTGATCCATGGAGGTATTATATCTCTAAAACGTTCCTTAAGCCGAGAAAAATTATTTTAAACTCTGTGACGTCATCTCAATAAAAAGATGTGATTCAAGTGGGAACTAGCAGTCAGGGCCAGTGGGAGAAACATTACTGTGCATATTCAGTGGGCTGCATACTGTGGAAGTAATCCTGGAAGCTAGAAACTTTTTGGCATATGCACCAGGCGATTTCAGGGTATTTTTGCAACAACAAAAATTTATTATTAATTTAAGAACGTAGAATTGCAACAAAATAAGTGATTTAGTTTTACATGTCAACCTAACAGTTTGCCTTGATATATTTAGTAAAACTAAACAAAAATGATCTCTCATTTCTTTGGTTTGTGAACGACAGTAACTGATAGTGACATTTAGATTCTGTGTACAATATTGATTTTCTTTTCACAACTCATATTAGAGAGGGAATTACGAAGTATACAATAGAAAGGCTTTTAAAGCAGTTTTTTTTAAGTAGATATTTTCTATGTGAAAGGACTGAATAAACATAAGACATTTCAGTCATTTTTGTTTCCCTATTTGTAATGGATTATTTTTGTACTGTTTTTAGTGAGGTAAATTATTTAATTTCTTCCTCCACCATTGCAAGTATACCAAACCCAGTGTGGCATTCAAGCTCACAGATTGTAATTGTTATTTATTCATATACAGTATATTTTCTGTTAAATATATGATGTGTGAACTTTTGAGGTGCTTTTTTTTTTTTTTTTTAGCTATGGGCAGAAGTGAAATGTATCTCCCAAAATGCTCTGTAACAGCAGCTCTGCCTTTAGAAACAATTTGACTTACTAAAACATTTTCAGCATGGCGAGGTGTAGAAGAAGAAAGTAGACCTTTAACTACCTGCAGATACAAACAAAGCTGTAAAAGCTCACACAGACACATTCACTGTCCTCTCCAGCAGAAGCAGTGGAGCTGACATTAAAGCCGCTGCTGTAACAATGCTGACATTTCTGCTACACAAAAGACTGGACACGCGTTGAAATGCACTGTATGCTGTACGATTTATCAATGGCATTAAGTAAGGGCACATTGATTTACATCAGCTACATGCCATCTTTCCAATAATTAGGCTGTGCATTTTCATTAAACACAATAGAACGGTGTTTCATGAAGAAAAAGTACTCCTGAACTCTGTGCCTACAGTACACTTCCTCCTCATTAGAGGCATTCTGCAGTGGCCCTGGTCTTCTCTGGAATATTCCTTAAAGGTCACTGTTGATATTTGGACAGCGTTTGCCCTTTCACATGATCGGCAAGCCAACGATCTGAATAGCAAATAGCCCTCTTGTGTTCTGTAAACATATGACACCTCATTGACAAAGTGGCGCTAACACTTATCGCTTAACTCCGAAGAGGTGAAATCAATCATGTGGATACTAGGAGCTGCCACGACCATCTGTATTGTTTAACCTGCAATTTTTATATTGTAAAAGCAGGAAAGTGAAACAATAACCCACATGGCGTGCTTAAGACCAAACACTAAAGCTCTTTCTTTCTTTCTTTTTAATACATGATTAATAAAAAAATTACACTGCTACTAATGTTACATTTGTTTATAATTTATCATTCACGGAAAGCAAGTACAGCAATCCAGTTTGAGAGTCAGTAAAAGTCCCACTAAGTTGATTAACTGATTAGTCAATTGATAGAAAATTATTTGTAAAGTAAAAATTGTAAACATTTTTTAGTTCCAGCTTCTCAAAATGTGTGGATTTGCTGCTTCTCTTTGTTCTACCTGTTATTGAAATTAAACAGGGTTGGGTTTTTGACTTTTGGCCAGACAAAAGATGCAATTTGAGGATGTCACAAAACTGTGAGAGACATTTTTCACTCTTTACTGACATTTTATATACCAAATGACTGATTATCGCTAGTTGCAGCTGTAGCTTACTCATGTTTGCACTGTAAATGTACGTCTACGTACTTGTTTTTGCCACAGTCTCAGATTATTATTCTAAGTGTCTGACAGTTTAATGGAAAATCACCTACAGAGTTATACTTTTTTGTTAAAGAGTAAAATCCTTTTTGTTTAACTGGGAACAGCCCCAAAATTGGCATCACCCAACCCACCAGACTCCATTTAAATAAACAGTAATTTTAGCGTGTATAGCGCCAGCATATTTTCACATCTAACTGGGTGAATTAAGGGTTAATTTCAACCAAACCAAAGTTGATGACTGTTGGAGCAGTGGAGAGATGAACCAAGACAGTTTTCGTGAGTTTTATTTTGTTTCTGTCAACCCTGAATGAAGTGTGTTTCACAATAATAAAATTACTGCTTATTTTAATGGAGTCCGTTGGGTTTGGCAATGGCAATTTCGGGGCTGTTCTGGCTAAACAACAATGATCACAGTTTTTCATAAAAGGTCTCGCTCTGTAGGGATCCTTAACATCATGTTGTCAGACACTTAGAATAACGATCTGAGCCTGTCAGTGGCAAAAACAAATAGTTTTAGTGGACGTAGTATTGTTATATATTATTAGTATTGACAGTGAAGCCCCTGATGTTGCAGCCTGTTTTGTGCTCTCGCTCAATTTGAACCAATTTCAAAACTTGTTCTTCCCATTGGTCACACATGAAAAAATAGTGTCCAGATCAAAAAATACCAAACTTACTCTTTAAGCACCGTCTAATCTCTAAACTATAAGATACCTATTGAATCCTCAATCCACACACTGTGTGTGTCCAAAACAAAAAACCTCCATTTCATCTTCAGTGATATGATTGGGGCTATTTTAACTCTAGCTGTCCTGCAATTGCTGTCATGTGTGTAGGTGTGTAGGTGTGTAGCTGAATATAAAAATTATTTACAGCTATGTGTATCGGTTAAAATAGCGAGAAGTGTGTTGCCCAGTGTGAGAGTAGTAAACATATTTTATCGCAGATGTTCTTGAGTAAGAGTAAAAAGTATTCTGCAGAATGACTACTCTTAGAAGTAAAATTTATTTTAACATACTCAAGTATATGTACAGTAATTAAGTAAATGTAATGGGTTACTACCCACGGCTGATTGAAGACAATATGCATGGATCTTCATGCATCTTGTCTTATAATTATAGATGACACTGTAAACAGTAGTCATACTCAGTAAAAATATGGGCTGTGTTATGTTAAATAGTGCCTCTGCTATTTCTAAAGGTAAAAGATTTGTTTCATAAAAGTGTGTTTAATGTTATTGATATTAGCATAAAGAAAGTAGACTAGAAACCCTGTAAATACTGTGTTAAAATTTGTTGTTGTGTATTGAATAATGAAGATTCAACCTGTTTTTTACACATTGGTAGATGAGGAAAAGAGATTATATTTTAGAAAAAACTTGACAGTATAATTTAAGTTTTTCTTGTAAACCTTATTTTTCCACTATGAATTAATATTTTATAAGATCAGAACTATTTTAGAAAAGATTATTTAGATCTTGTTTTGTGTCACTTGTATTGATGATTAATTTATATTTCTCTTGTAAGGTCATGTAACCATTTGAGCAAAGAACCTGAAACAACCTCAGATCACTTTTCAAAGCAAAAGTTACACAATTTTCAAGTATTTTCCAACAGTAAATTTTGTTGTAGTACTGTCAAGTACTTTACTGTACCTGACAATAAAAAAACATCCAAACAGCTGCTTGAAACTTCGCATACAGGGTTTTCTTGTCTTTCTCTTTCTTATTTTGTATGTGGAATCTTTTTCTCTGCGCAAAGGTCGCTCAGCACCTGGCCTCGACGTATGGAGGAAAGGCTTACGATGTGGCCAAGATGGCCCAGGTCACTGGGCAAAGATGGCCAATAGTGGGGAAAAGATTGGTGTCTGAGTTTCCTTACATCGAGAGTGAGGTAAAGCGTGATTTCATGCTTAGTTTTGCCAGAACAGGCTCAAATACTCCAGCCTCATGCATGTCTTCTTTTTCAGGTGCTGTATGCGATCAAGGAATACGCCTGCACGGCCACTGACGTTATCGCCCGACGAACACGCCTGGGCTTCTTGAACGTGCAGGCGGCTGATGAAGCCCTCCCACGCATCGTAGAAATCATGGGGAAAGAGCTAGGCTGGAGTGAGGAGCACAAGACGGTATAATTTTACAACAAATTTTATAAAATGAGTTGAATATATGCCCTACCAAAGCAAGTATTTTGTAAAGTTTCACCTGATTGTTTCATTGGTTTGTGTAACAATGTTCCCTACCCCAGAAAGCCTGCTCTGTTTTACATAACGCTTTAAGCCCTGTTGGGCTATTTGAAGTCCTGGTTTCTTCTTCGATCTGTACACAATAGAAAAGGTCCACACCCTTCATCCCTTCAGAGGAAACGCTCTGTGTGTGTATGAAAGAGATGAAAACTGAACTCTCAACTATTTTAGGCCCTTATTGTTACAGCACAGGGAAGCCACATGTAACGTAAACAAGACATCTGCCACCATGATGAATAGTTTATACAAGTTATTCAAGTTTTCAAACAGTAGCAGTGACAAACACTGTATGCAGGGGGACAGGTTAAGTAGCGGCGTTTTGTGACGCTCTAACTCATGTGTTATATTACCTGTTTATTTTCCATTTAAGAAGTATGTTTACAACCATATACAGTACAGGCCAAAAGTTTGGACACACCTTCTCATTCAATGCGTTTTCTTTATTTTCATGACTATTTACATTGTAGATTCTCACTGAAGGCATCAAAACTATGAATGAACACATGTGGAGTTATGTACTTAACAAAAAAAGGTGAAATAACTGAAAACATGTTTTATATTCTAGTTTCTTCAAAATAGCCACCCTTTGCTCTGATTACTGCTTTGCACACTCTTGGCATTCTCTCCGTGAGCTTCAAGAGGTAGTCACCTGAAATGGTTTTCCAACAGTCTTGAAGGAGATCCCAGAGGTGTTTAGCACTTGTTGGCCCCTTTGCCTTCACTCTGCGGTCCAGCTCACCCCAAACCATCTGGATTGGGTTCAGGTCCGGTGACTGTGGAGGCCAGGTCATCTGCCGCAGCACTCCATCACTCTCCTTCTTGGTCAAATAGCCCTTACACAGCCTGGAGGTGTGTTTGGGGTCATTGTCCTCTTGAAAAATAAATGATCGTCCAACTAAACGCAAACCGGATGGGATGGCATGTCGCTGCAGGATGCTGTGGTAGCCATGCTGGTTCAGTGTGCCTTCAGTTTTGAATAAATCCCCAACAGTGTCACCAGCAAAACACCCCCACACCATCACACCTCCTCCTCCATGCTTCACAGTGGGAACCAGGCATGTGGAATCCATCCGTTCACCTTTTCTGCGTCTCACAAAGACACGGCGGTTGGAACCAAAGATCTCAAATTTGGACTCATCAGACCAAAGCACAGATTTCCACTGGTCTAATGTCCATTCCTTGTGTTTCTTGGCCCAAACAAATCTCTTCTGCTTGTTGCCTCTCCTTAGCAGTGGTTTCCTAGCAGCTATTTGACCATGAAGGCCTGATTGGCGCAGTCTCCTCTTAACAGTTGTTCTAGAGATGGGTCTGCTGCTAGAACTCTGTGTGGCATTCATCTGTTCTCTGATCTGAGCTGCTGTTAACTTGCGATTTCTGAGGCTGGTGACTCGGATGAACTTATCCTCAGAAGCAGAGGTGACTCTTGGTCTTCCTTTCCTGGGTCGGTCCTCATGTGTGCCAGTTTCGTTGTAGCGCTTGATGGTTTTTGCGACTCCACTTGGGGACACATTTAAAGTTTTTGCAATTTTCCGGACTGACTGACCTTCATTTCTTAAAGTAATGATGGCCACTCGTTTTTCTTTAGTTAGCTGATTGGTTCTTGCCATAATATGAATTTTAACAGTTGTCCAATAGGGCTGTCGGCTGTGTATTAACCTGACTTCTGCACAACACAACTGATGGTCCCAACCCCATTGATAAAGCAAGAAATTCCACTAATTAACCCTGATAAGGCACACCTGTGAAGTGGAAACCATTTCAGGTGACTACCTCTTGAAGCTCATCGAGGGAATGCCAAGAGTGTGCAAAGCAGTAATCAGAGCAAAAGGTGGCTATTTTGAAGAAACTAGAATATAAAACATGTTTTCAGTTATTTCACCTTTTTTTGTTAAGTACATAACTCCACATGTGTTCATTCATAGTTTTGATGCCTTCAGTGAGAATCTACAATGTAAATAGTCATGAAAATAAAGAAAACGCATTGAATGAGAAGGTGTGTCCAAACTTTTGGCCTGTACTGTATGTTTAAAGGAATACTTCACCCCCCAAATGACCATTTGTATATCATTTACTAAACCTGTGTTACATTGAATTTGTAAAGAAAACTTTGTATTTCTTTCATGCCTCCATGGTGAATGAAGAATCCAAACGCTGAGAAAATTTTTGATGAGTTGAAGTCATAGGGGTCATCATTTAACAACAGCAAAAATATATCAAAACATCTGTTTACAGACTCTCACATTACATAATCCAAGTCTTATTTATCCAGTTGTATGCTCAGTACTTCCCAAACAAACAGGCTCTTTCTGAGAACAGAATGAAAAGTAAAACTTGATAAAGTTCTCCTCAGAGCCAGACTACATTGACAAAAACAGAAATTTTACATAGCTAAACAGGAAGCTGCTGGTCTGCCACTGCCTCAGTTAGTTAGTTTGTCAGTGTTATTGTTTGACTTTGGTGTTTTACAGGGTTATTTCAGATTCACCGAAGTCACACAATAACACTAACAATCAAACCAGTCGAGGCAGCGGGAGACCAGCAGCTACTACGTTCAAGCAAGTGAACTGTTTTTGTCAATCAAGTCTGGCTTTGAGGGGAGCATAGACAAGTTTCACTTTTAGTTCAGTTCCCCATTACAAAGCCTGTTTTTTGGGAAGTCCTAAGCATACGACTGGATAAATGAGACTTGGATTATATAGCACGAGTCATGTGAGAGTTTAGAAATGGATGTTTTGATATAGTTTTGCTATTGTTCAACATGATTTCAATTCATCAAGAATTTTCTCTGTTTATGGGTTTCGTTCACCGTGGAGGCATGCAACTAAAACAAAGTTTTCTTTACAAATTCAACATTACATGGGTTGAGTAATTGATATACAAATCAGGGCGTGAAGTATTCCTTTAAGTATTTAAGTGCTCATTTAAGTATTCCTTTAGTGTTCTAGCAAATGAAGTGTAGCAGTATCACTACAAGCTGATTTCTGACTCCTTTTTTCTCTCTACTAATGTGAAATCCAGGCAGAGCTTGAAGCAGCCAGGAAGTTTCTGTACCATGAGATGGGCTACAGGTCACGCTCTGAACAGCTGACCAAGACATCTGAGATCAACCTGGACAACCAGGAGATAGCCAGGTCACTATTTTTTTTATTTTTTTAACTAAAACCTTTACCTAAAAGTTCTTTGAGGAGTGTCCTCTGTCTGTCCAGCCACCTTACAACAGATAAGATAAAAATATCACCTGAGTCACCTTCAAGTGTTCCTGTGCACTCAGAGCAAAAGGCTTAATGCGCAGGAAGTGATGCTAAGGGTGCTGTGTGGGCATTTTTTATGATTTTTTTTTTGTATTAAAAATGTTTTTTAATTCATTGTGTCCCTTCCTTTTGAAACCACACCTACACCCTTGGGTTCAGTAATTACTGTTGTACATGAGTTAGCAACAATAAGGTACAAAATCACATTCTTTTTTTAAAGACACAACAAAAACAAATTTAAAACCCTGTAACATGAGCCAAGCATGATGGACTTTTCTTTGTCATGATTCACCATCTCTAGTGAGATTAAAGTAATACGATATACTGTCATTCAGTCTTGTTAATTCTACAGAATCAAATGTAAAGAAGCGTGGAAATAAAGCTCTGAAATCTGTGTGACAGGTACAAGAAACGTTTTCACAACTTTGACAAAGAAAGCAAAGGATTCATCACCACTGTCGATGTCCAGCAAGTTTTAGAAGTGAGTCTCCTTTTATCCCTCCTTTCCCTTCCTTTTTCTTCTTGTCTGTCCCTCATCGTTACACACTTGTTTTCATTACCTGTTATCAATCCCTCGTCTTGTTTTTTTCTCTCTGCAGAGCATCAATGTCCAAATTGATGAAAATGCGCTCCATGAAATCCTTAATGAGGTGGATCTCAACAAGAATGGACAAGTGGAAATTGATGAATTCATGCAGGTACGTAACACGTAGACAGTGAGGAGAGAGGGGGCATCTGACAGCCCATCATTTCCTGTATTTGTTTCAGCAGATATTTCACTATCTACTGCAATGCTGCTGTTACCATTCTTTGCTTTAACTATTAAACTGTGATGCTTGGTGCAGAAGTGAAGGAAGCAGTCAGTATTTTTGAAATATCTGCAATATCTTATTTTACATTTTCTGTTAAAGCCACCTGTGAAATAAGTGTCACATTGTTACCTCTGGTTTTTGTCAATGCCACAATGGTGAAATAGGCTTCCTGTAATCAAGGCTCATTAACGCATAAATGCATAGTAAAATAGAATTTCACATGTAAATATAAAAGAAGCAGTTTTAACATTTAATGCCCTCTAATGAAGAACCACATACAACAAAATAAAATGAGCTCAAAAGTGGAGTGATATTACACAATAAATAATACTGCCTCATTCCCAGTGTGTCTGCAGGTCTTTAAAAAGTCTTAAAATGTCCGAAATGTAATAAATATTGCGTCTTAAAAGTCATTAAATTTGAATATGTGATGTCTTTATTGCCTCAATCATCTTATCTAATTTAATTTATCAATTTTTCAGTTTCTTTTTGTCAAAATGGGTTAAAGGGTAAGTTTGGTATTTTTCAGCCTGGAATCTATTTTCCCATTCTTTTGCGTCTAAGTGACTAATGGGAACAACAATTTTTGAAATTGGTCTAGTAATGAGCAAGAAGACGGCAGCCAACAGCAGTGAAACAGGCTGCAACGTAACCACTCAGGGCAATTGTGCAATGTTAAGTTACATCCTCTAGTGTTTGTTTTAGACACTAACTTATGGAAAGGATCCCGACAGAGATAGAACTTTTTGTGAAAGAGTTAGAACCTTTTTTGTGTAACCAGAAACAGCCCCAAAATCGCCTTCACCAAACCCACCAGACTCCATTTAGATAAACGGTAATTTTAACATGTATAGAGCCAACATATTGTCACATCTAAGTGGGTGAATTCAAATCAATTCAATAAAACTTTATTTATCCCAAAGGAAATTCTTGTGCAAGAGAATGCCTCAAATTACAGTAACACTAAGTACAGTAACCACAATGTAATAATTCACAACCAGTACCAACCAGACAACCAGTTGGTTCCCACGGTCAGGGTCACTCACTGGGCCCAGTTTTATAATAACAGAGTATTAAATATCTGGCAAAATATACAAATATACAATGTAGAAGTGTTTTCAAAGAGCAGAAGCAAAAATTAGTGCCTAATAGAGAAACAACAGGAGTACGATAAGTACAAGAGCTACTGAGAATGAACAAAAATGGTGAGGAAAAAAAACAGACTCCTGATAGTCAATGTTAAATTGAATTCTATATAACAATGAGAAGTAGTATTGCCCATGACTGAGAAAAGGATATTGCACTACACTGACAAGTGATCATGATATTGAATAGAAATATTGCACATGATGTTGTGAAAAAATATTGCACAAGATATAATTAGTAATGTGGATCATATGAAGTAATAGTGCACCTGATGTAGGTGAATATTGCTATGGTCTTTGTGAGTTTTATTTTGTTTCTGTCAGCTTTAAATGAAGTGTGTTTTGGGATGATAAAATTACTGTTTATTTAAATGGAGTCTGGTGGGTTTGACGATAGCAATTTTGAGACTGTTTCAAGCTAAACAAAAAGGATCTTACTCTTTCACAAAAGGTCTGTCTCTGTAGGGATTCTTTCCATAATGTTTTCAGACAGAATAACATTCTGAACCTGTCAGTTTAAAAAACAAACACTTTTGGTGGACAGAAAGTGACAGTGCACAACTGCCCCTTAACTTTACATTGCTGCCTGTTTTGCTGCTGCCGGCTGCAGCTTTCTTGCTCAATACTGGACCAGTTTCAGAAATTGCTGTTCCCATTAGTCACTTATGAACAAAAACACAAGGTTTGAAAAATACCAGACTTAATAGTCATGATTTAAACGTATTGGCTATATTTAGCTCTGATTTAGCCTAGCTACATGTAACCCAAATCTAGCCGATTTAATTTTGAAATTGATTAAATGTAATTTTCGCCATTGCAGATGGCGTGCGGTATGATATTCAATCACGTATGGAGAGGCAACAGTAATTAAAATATGTTTATCTCCATTTTTTGGACATGTTCTCTACATAGCCGTATAATTGATGACGTCTACACTTTGGCTATGGTTAGACGTCTACCAAATTTTCACTAACAGCCCAAATTCAGACGTGATTTAGCCTAGACGTCAGGTCTTCATGTAGATGGCTATTAGATGTTTTTTAAACCAAAAAATGCTTGCTGGGAACCTTTAAGCTCTTTAGCAAAACATTAACCCTTCCACTGATCCCAATATTTAACTTCATACATGCACTTACCTGTTGACAAAATATGGATTTACCTTATTTACGCCAATAACTATATTCCTACATAAAACCTACCTCTGCTCATGACTTCATATACTCTACTTACCTTTACATGTAGCTGCAAGAAAAAGAAGATTTATCCAAAAATCTTTCCTAAATTTGGTTAAAAAATGATCTTGAAAAGTTCTTAAAAAACATTAAATTCAAGAGTCTGATACCTGTAGACACCATGTCTCCATCCTATACCACTGCATAAAATATATGTGTATAAGTGAACGTCAGCTAGTTTGGAATTTAATCTCTGTTATCCTCTCTGAAAAATCTCCTCAACAAATAATTTTTTGTCTTTAATTAAGCCCTAAAACCTTATTTTCCTCAAACAATTGGAAAATCTGCCTGTTTCAGCCTGTTTGAAATATGAATAACTAAAGCAGTTTGCTGCATAGAATCAAAACAAAATTTTTATCAAAGCTTGAAATTAATGAATGTTAATTTGCACTGGACACAAACAAATATTGTCACTGCACTGGCAAATTCTTTAACATTTATAAGATAATTGGACTTTGGGGGTATTTATGTATCAAATGGAGATTTCTGCAGAAAAGACTGAATCTAAAACCACCTGGAAATAAAGTTAAAAGTCATCTGAGTGCCTGTAAGCACTGTGGTGTGATAAGCCATTAAAGCCTAACACCTCTGTCAATAACAGCAGAACAAACAGGACTGAGGAGATGGAGGCTGGATAATATAAGCCCAGGGGAACGCAATCCGTTACACACTTTTGTTTCCTTTATTTTACTACTTTTTTACCTCTGAGATTATTATGTGTGCTGCCATATTGCTGCCTCATCATGCTTCAGAAATAGTGACAATCTTGACACATTTTGTCCTGAATTCATAACAGTGTATCACATTTTAAACAGTGGTTTATAGGTCTGTGTTTTCTTATTGTAGATACTCATTTACAATCTCAGGAAATCGTAGCAGTGAAAGCAGTTTCCTCCTGTCTGTAGTTTTCAGTGTTATCACCCAGATAAATACAGCGTATTCCTCCTCATATATGCTATAATGTCACTAGTGCTGCAACACATTACCCCATCGTTAACAAAAGGCCATTGTCCACCTGAGATGTGCGAGTGACGTGCGAGCGACGAACATCCGCTCCTGCAAACAAGGTGTGAAGTCCGACTACCTGGAGCTAATTAGAAAGGAGAATCTCTGTCAGCGGCTTGTGTAATGAGGCCTGAAGTGTGTCCGGGCCTTCCGTGTCCGTCCGTGGCTAAATAAATTACTTTCTCACTTGACAACGAAGTCCAGAAAAGAGTCATTATGGGGGAGCTTGATGACAGTTGAGGATTTAGTCTTCATTAGTGTGCCGGTTTCTCCGCTGGCCGAGGAAACGAGCTGATAAATCAGTAAGAGAAGCCTTTTTTTTTTTTTGGTCCCTTCTGTGACAAGTAAAACATAATGGAGTTAAGTATTTAATCATACATGTTATGTATATTTTGATTCTGAATGTCTGTTTCTGCTTGTGTGTATGCTCGACCTGCACATGGATGACTTTAGGGGCAACATACAGGTAGTGTATATGCGCAGCACTGATGGGAAAACTGTAACCCCTGTGTCCTTCAAGGCTGACTTCAGTTCTCACATTAACAATTAAGTCACATAAAACTTTATGAAGTCTTCTGGTGGCTAAAGGGACAAAAAAACACACTTAAAACATTCAAGATGTGTTAAAGCTACACTAGGAAACTTAATTTTCTCATTGTCAACAAATCCCATGAAAAGACCAAAACCAACAATGAATTCATCCTGCTAATCCTACTAGTGTTGGTCTGGTCTTAATGATATTTGTTGACAATAAAGAAAATATAGAACAATACCTTCCTTGTCCTTATAAATGTTGCAATATAAATATGCAGAAATTCTTCAATATGTTGTCTTAGGCTGCGTTCAGACTGCAGGCAAAACAAAAGATTTGTTTCTCAAATTAAAGACAGACTGTTTGCACTTTCATTTGTCAGCCCAGTCTCCAGAAGAAATGTTAGAATTGTACATTTCTGCAAACCATGAATACGTCATGTTTCATACACATCATATCAGAGTTTCTATAGTGGCATAGTGTATGAGCTAACTTTGTTTATGGGAGGTTGAGGGGATGGTGGCTAGGGCTGGGAGATATAATGACTATGTACGATATATTGACATATTTTCAAGTAAGATATAAGTAAGACAACACTGTCTAAATCAGTCTGCGAGATGAATGAAATGACCACAGCACATGTGCAGTCCAGCACTGCGCCGCTAGTTTGTGTGTGAGGTGGATCGTAGCACATCGCCGTGCTTCTTGGTAGTTGTAGTCTGTTGTGTGACACTAAGACAGCTCCTGGACGCAGGCGACAGAGCTGTGTAAAAAATGCAGCAACGACACAGATGTTTCGTATAAAACACGTACATGACACGGACAGTGTCTGTTGCTCCTTCTCTCCCTTTGCCTCTCTGTTGATGCTATGTGCATTAATACAATTAACAACCTAAATAAATAAAACATATTTAAATAATTTTGCAGCACTAGATTAATTTCAAAAGCCATGGAAACAATTTTTTAACTCCTCCCACAAAGATTTTTAATTGTTTCAAACCTACTTGACTCCATGTCTCTGCATTTTGTTTTGACCACAGTCTGTTTTTATAGAAGTGATTGTGTCATCTCTAATGTGGCTTTGACTTGCAGCTGTAAACATGTAACCCATGTCATAGAAAACACCGAGATATATTATGTATCGCCATTCAGCCTGAAAATACTGAGATATGAAGTTTTGTCCATATTGTCCAGCCCTAATGATGGATGGCATAACACCTAGGCGAGACACCTGCTGCACTACTGTTTAAGACCAATAGACAACAAAACCAGCTGTGTTTTAGCAAGTCAGTGCTGTGTCCAGCAACTCTTTAGGCTCCAAACATGGGTGTTTTTCATCAACACAACGTTGTTTTCCAACTGAGGATAGTGCCACAAAAAGCATTTGTTTTTTATTAAGCTATTTAAAGCCAAAACATGATCCTATCCTAACCATAACCAAGTAGTTTTTGTACATTAACCAAACCACATGTTAACCACAACACTGCTGACACATAAAGTTTCAAAGTATCCATTGCATAACTTAGAGATGTTATGTATCCATGGTTTGCTGAAATTTACAATGCTAATATTGTTTCTGGCGATTAGGTTGTATTTTTAACTAATCTGATAAGATTTCTGTGTCCAGACAGAACCAACCTATCTGGGTTGGTAGCATTGTTACTGACACATATGTCAGTAAAAACAGTACCAACCCATACACTTGAGACAAAAGCCCCTCTCTTCTATGCCGCGAGATATCTCTTGATAAATGGTCTTGTCCAGGTAGGTTCCTGTCAGCTTTGCCTGTACAGATGCTTCCACCCAAAGTGCCAGCAGACAATTTATTTTAACAGACTGTTGTTCTTCATGTTGTTCTCCATAGTGCTCTTCTAGAGGCAGCATTGGTTCTGCTCAGCACTTCCGTCAGTCTGGTTTTAACATCATCATTGTGAGTCACATTCAAAAACACTTGGAAATTTGTGTCCAGACTGAGACACATCTGTAGAAATCCAATTGGCATTTCAAATCACCTCAGATTTGCAAAAATTGAATTTCCCATTAATGTAATTTGCAAAATCAGATTGAATGTGTGTCTAACTATCAGCAACCTATCTGCATTGGTTGCTGGTGTCACAACTTAGGCATCAGTAACAACATAGATACCCTGGTGACTTCACTTTCAGTGGAAGCATGAGAAATGGACATCTACATTTTGCCCTCCAAACAGTTACCCTGTAGAGTCATGGTTATAAATTTGAATGTGTTTTGGCATATGTCTGTGGACTGCTGTTGTCCTCTTTAGCGCTAAGCTAGCAGCAGCATGGATTCTGCTCAGCACTTCTTTCACTATGGATTTGACAGTGTCATCATGTGTTGCATTCAAAGATACGTTGAACTGATTTGAGCATACAGAGCATCAGAACTGAGAAACATCTGTAAAAATTCAATTGGAATCGGATTTCAAATCACTTCCAATTTCCAAAATCACATTTTATGTGATGTTTTTTTGATGTCCAGACTTTTCAAAGTCAATTCAATTCAATTCAATTCAATTTTATTTATAAAGCCCAATATCACAAATCACAATTTGCCTCACAGGGCTTTACAGCATACGACATCCCTCTGTCCTTAAGACCCTCACAGCGGATAAGGAAAAACTCCCCAAAAAAAAAACCCCTTTAACGGGGAAAAAAAACGGTAGAAACCTCAGGAAGAGCAACTGAGGAGGGATCCCTCTTCCAGGACGGACAGACGTGCAATAGATGTCGTACAGAACAGATCAGCATAATAAATTAACAGTAATCCATATGACACAATGAGACAGAGAGAGAGAGAGAGAGAGAGAGAGAGCGAGAGATGCAGGTAATGACAGTAGCTTACAACAACATTAATGAAAGTAATAATATTATAGTTATAGTTCTGGCTACTGTGGTACAATATGTTGAAAGTATGTATTAATATCTGACAGTATACTTGTGTGACAATAGTCATATGTGTATAATAACAGTAGAAGTATGACTAATGACTAATGATGGCAGCTCTTGTTTGTACAAAATGGTTAGATACACTGAATAATGTGTGGTACCTACATAATGTGATTACTAGTGTACAGTACATGCTGTTAGTGTGTTTAAAAAGTGTCAAGACAATGAATCTAAAATATAGTAAAAACTGTAGGATTCTTTGTTTTTATTTTTATTTGTAGTTAAACTATCAAAAACTACGACCACAGATTATTTCAGTCACTCTGCAGCATGTGGAGAAATTCCTTGAACGTAATGGAGGTTCAGTACTGTGACATTCAGACAAGTCTGGACTTGTTTTTCCACCATCGTCACACCAGTGCATGGACTTTTCTTTTTTTAACCTGCTCTCAAACGCATATGGACACTGGTGTGTAAATCTGCATGTGTGCAGCTGACACAAACAAAGCAGCCAAACTCAAACGTCCACATGTTTTCCTGCTGCTCGGAGCACATGGCCCGGTGTGCGTCCCCTGGATCGGGTGTCTCCGTAACCAGAGACGCCTGACCTGTGCTCATGTAAGCCAGCCGTGAGTCAGTTATATTTAGACCCTTGGGGGGGGTCATTGCTGCCTTAACCCCCGCAGCTACACAGCACGCTGCCAGCTCCGCCTCGGGTTACAAGCTGCTCAGTTTAGAACAAACAATGTCGGGGAACTGGACGGCGAACGGAGAGGATTTATGGTGAGAGATAAAACAGATCAAGTGTCGCTCAAGGACACTTTGCTCTGCTCTACGTGACACTACGTCGACCTGAAAAAAGATACGGGGAGCGCCGAGGCATGAAACCCAATCAGGAGCAAGAGAACGATGCCAACATGTTGACTAAGCAGAGATGTTTGGCTTCCTGTCGCTGCTCAACTGAAAGAGGCGAACAAACATACTGAGAGCCGACCTGGGACCTCAGTGGGTTTAAAACTGACAGGAAACATCACATTTTGCTGAACATACCTCTGTGTGAGAGAGTCGTATTTTTGGTATTTGTCATACTGTCTGAAAATCAATCAGCAGTCTCTTTAAACTTTGAGGGGCGGTAGCTACACTGTAAATCCTCACAGGTGTTTGGCTGAAGACGCCTCTGCTCAGGTTAAAGTCGGTCAAAGCTCTGCGGGGTATGAAGGTCACCAAACTCACCAGACCACTGAGGGAAAACTTGTTTGAAATGAGCCTTGCACGACGCATGCTGGTTTGTTCCTGTGTCACACTGATGCAGGAAATTAATATGATATTTATGATGTGACCAGGAGCACCGCTCAGCCTTGTACGCCTCCAACTGCAAATGAGCTCAGTTATGACTCTATATTCTGAATTTCTGATCAATGGAGGTTTAATATTTTTAAAACTTTCCTGGAGTCGAGGATAGCAGTTTAAAAATGTATGACATCATGAACTTGGAAACACTACTGTGCATGTTCAGTAGGCTGCACACCCTGGAAGGAACCCGAGCACAGACTCCTGGGTACCCAGCGGGCAAGGGCGGAAGTTTGCATATGGATGGTAGGGACATGTCCCTACTGATATTTTGGGAAGACACAATTGTCTCTACCAATATAAGCAGCTGCTCTCATTCTAAAGTCGTCAAATGACAATGTTTGTCAGTGATTTTGAAGTCAGACACCAACGCCAAAAGCCATCTTTCGCAGTGGTATGATAACCACCAGTTGGCCGGGGGCATCCGTCATGGCGGTGTCAGTTTGAAATGCTCGTAACAACTTCATATAAGGAGCTGGAAAATTCCTGTAGAGCAGGTGGGAGATGTGGCGGATGGATCCAACAGACTCGGCTGGCTTTCAGTGTCTGATAGTCCACACGAACATTCGTCACATCTCGTTATGAAAATGAAACATAGATTTCGTCTTAGTTTTTATTATCAAGATCTATCTTTAGCTCGTCATAGGCTCGTTTTTTGTCATGGACAAAAGGTCGTTGATGAAAACTTTTAGTCGTAGTTTCGTCAGCTAAATTAACACTGGTGCCTTTTTTCTTCTTTGCATCAAAATAGGATTTTTTACAAATCTTCCTACCGCTGGACTTGTTGGACTGTGTGGACACAGCCTCCGTCTTTCCAGGTGGGACAGATTGTTGTCACTGTTGGACAATGTGTTTCCAGTGTCAGCGTCACAGAGCGAGGGCTTTATTAAAAGCTTGTAAAGCTGCAGTGTTGATCTGATGTTCATTAATCACCACTCACAGCAGTGACAGAGACCAGACTGGACACAGTGGGATGTGATCAGAACTGATCAGGGATCAGCTGTCTGTGTTCATGATGTAATTACAAAATAGTTGGGAGGCGTTCTGGGGAGTTTACAGAATGACTAACTGTCATGGAAATACATGATGCAGGCTGAGGGAAGGTGGTGGTTACAAGGCTCAGTTACAGAGTATTTCCTGGGAGGTGTTGAGGATCTGATGGTGTGTAACCGAGGNAGCACTATCTGATAAACATCTAGTATAGTAACTGTTGCTGAGTGGCGTGTAATCGAGTAAAAAGAAATCAAAAGTAATCAGATAATGATCTGATAGCAAGGGATTCTGTGGAAAGACTTTTAGGTTATCAATTTCAATTCCATACGTCAGAACTAGATCGAGGGTATGGTTAAAACAGTGAGTGGGTTCATGTACACCCTGACTGAAGCCAATGGAGTCTATTAATGAGATAAACGCGGTAGCCAGGGAGTCATTATCAACGTCGACATGAATGTTAAAATCGCCTACAATAATAACTTTATCTGATTTAAGAACTAAACTGGATAAAAACTCTGAGAATTCAGATACAAATTCAGAATACGGGCCAGGAGCACGGTACACTATAACAAATAAAAGTGGCTGCGAGGTTTTCCAGGTCGGATGTAAAACACTAAGAACGAGGCTTTCAAATGAATTATAATCTAGTTTAGGTTTAGGGCTGATTAACAGACTAGAGTTAAAAATGGCTGCAACTCCCCCTCCTCGGCCGCTGCCTCGAGGAATGTGGGTATTATTATGACTGGGAGGAGTGGACTCATTTAGACTAACATATTCATCTTGACACAGCCAGGTTTCAGTGAGACTGAGTAAATCAATATGATTATCTGATATTAATTCGTTTACTAACACTGCTTTAGACGATAGAGACCTGATATTTAACAGTCCGCATTTAATTCTCCTGTTTTGTCTTTCTGTCACAGAAGAGGTTTTAATTTTTATGAGGTTGTTATGCACAACTCCTCTTTGTTTAATTTTAGATTTAAATAATTTAGGTGGTCGGGGGACAGACACCGTTTGTATAAAACTATGAAAACTATGGCTGGGTAACTGAACTAGAAGCTCAGAGAGGCGTTTAGGACTGCAACTCTCTGTCCTGGTCTCAACTCTGGGTTGTCAGGGATTTAAATTACTAATAAAATTTGCCAGGTTCCTAGAAATGAGAGCAGCTCCATCCAAAGTGGGGTGAATGCCGTCTCTCCTAATAAGACCAGGTTTTCCCCAGAAAGTTTGCCAATTATTAACAAAACCCACATCGTTTGCTGGACACCACCTGGACAGCCAGCGGTTAAATGATGACATGCGGCTAAACATGTCATCACTGGTCAGATTTGGGAGGGGTCCAGAGAAAACTACGGAGTCCGACATCGTTTTTGCATATTCACACACCGAGGCAATATTAATTTTAGTGACCTCCGATTGGCGTAACCGGGTGTCATTGCCGCCGACGTGAATAACAATCTTACTGAATCTGGATATGTCAAAAAAAAAAAGGGATTTGGGTTGGCAGTGTGAACAAGGCCTTAGATGCTTCGTAATAAACTGGAGACAAGTCTCTCATGGTTTCAGGCTTCATTGAATCAGGCATATAAAGAATCTGTCTTTAAAAGGAAGGAAGGGATGCAGCTCTTTTAAAACTCCAGTCACCCTTAAAACAGCTTCATTTCCCACCTAGTGCAGCTTTAATACAAAAAGAAGACAATTGGTGTTTGGTGTCCGGGATGTGTGTAGGTGATCGGGCACACAACAGAATATTGTCGTTGTCATAGCGATAATTGTTAAAGCAGCTCTGCTTGACAAATTAACCTTTCCCGCTGTTCTCTGCAGCTGATGAGCGCGGTAAAGAAGGGACAAGTGTCGGACAGCCGCCTGGCCATACTGATGAAAACGGCAGAGGAGACTCTGAATAAAAGAGGGCCGGTGACGGTGGACCGGAGCGGGGGTGGAGTCTGAGCCCGAGGGTGCCAAGAAAAAATTCAGCTACTGGTCCTTTTTAAAGGTGGTGATGACAAAAGGGTTCTCATGCAAATGGTGTTATTTGAATGACAATAATGCAATCAAGCACACGGCAGGGTGAATTTGGCCAAATCAAGCCTCACTCCTGAGTGTGTTTTGAGGGAAATGGTATCTAATGAATGAGGCTGAGGTTTGTTTTCTGAACATCTGGTGCCTCTGATATTACACAGCACATCTGTTTTGTACTGTCTTTTAAACTTTGATATTTTAATCATGAACATTATCTTTGTACTTCTCCAACACTCCTTTTTAAACTCAATTTTTTTAATAGTATGGACACGATTGTTGGTTAAACACTGTCTTCAATGCAATGCAGCTTTTTCATGTGGCAACTGAGCATTTGTTTATGCTTTATTTTATGGGTCTGCTATCATTTATCGAAATAATGCCCTGGAAATAATTTGTAACCTGGTGCCAATTACAGGGAAAATAGAGATGGTGTTCATAAATGTTTACAGGCATGCAACTTAATATAAATGAAGAATAAAGCTTCCATAAATTAATGATAAATAAATATTACCATGACTGAAATTGACCCTATTTTACCTGTAATAAGTAACAAGTAACTAGTTATTTCCAGGAAACTTCCAAAAAAGTAACAGTGGACCCCTAATACAAAGTCGCACCGAGCATGTAAATGTGATCAAAGCACATTACAAGCACTGGTCAGTTAATATTCAATGGGTTTTAAAGCACTCTGAGATGTTTCCGAAGTACTTCTACTCCTGTTGACCTGATATAAGTGTGGGAGGAATCTTACATGTTCATGCCTACTGTGTTTTTCCATTTAGTGCACTACCAGCAAACAGCTACACTATGGAAGCCCATTTCTGCCAGTGTGATGACAAAAAAAGAGTTATTATAACAAAAAATCTGAAAGTTTCTCAAAGTAATGAGTTAGTATAAATTAATTAATATTTCAAGCAGGTGGAGTTAGTATCTCATGTAATTGAGAAAGTTTCTACAAATCATGACTCAGAATCTTAAAATAATGAAAAACTTTTGCAAGATAGTGAGAGACTTTCTCAAACTAATGAAATAATACCTTAAAATAATGAGAAACGTTATGAAAATAATGATTAGATATTTTTTAAAAAACACAGAAATTTCTCAAAATAAAGAGTTAGTATCTCAAAAATAAGAAACCTTCTCTGAATAATCAGTTAGTATCTCAGAATAATCAGAAAGTTTCTGAAAGTAGTGTATTAGTAGCTCAGAGTAATGGGTTACTGTCTGAAATAATCACAAACTTTCTAAAAATAATGACCTAGTATCTCCAAATGAGAAACTTTTTTTCAAGTTAGAATCAGAAACTTTCTGAAAATAATGACGTAGTACCTCAAAATGAGAAATGTTCTCAAGTTATCATCACAAATTAATGAGAAACTGTCTCAAAATAATGAGAAACTTTCTGTAAATAATGACCTAGTATCTTGAAATGAAAGTTAGTCAAGTTATTATGTCATGTAAATGAGATAATGAGACAAATAATGACTTAGTATGTCAAAATAATGAGAATCTTTCTTAAGAAGAATGAGTATCTCAAAATGGAAATGGATTTTCCAAAATCATGACTTTATATCTCAAAATGAGCTTGTACCGCAAAATGATAAGAAACTGTCTCAAAATCATGACTTTATATTTCATAATAAGAAATTGAAATTACTTCAAAATAATGATTTATTATATTTTGAGATATTAAATGATTATTTTGAGAAAACTGAAATACTAAGCCATTACTTGAGAAATCTGTCATTATTTTTAAGAAACATAAGATCTCAAAAATAATATGAAACAACACTTATTTTAAGGAAGTTTCTCATAATTACTTACAGATTTTTTTTATTTATTTATTTAATTTTATTTTTTGTCACACGCGGAAATGAGCTTCCATAACTACCAGAACTGAAGTTTACATTGCAAGGTTTTGAGCTTTAGTGTTTTTCTGAGACAGATGCTTTTTAATCTTTTCTTTCTATTCATATTTTTTATTATTTATTTCTCATGTCACTTCAGCAGTTTATAGACACCGCATACATTTACAGAGATTTAAATGCATTGCATGAGAAATCAGGATTTCAAATACATTTATTTTTTTGCATGCTACATGTTAACCATTTCTCTCTAATAATGTAAAGCCTAATCTTTATTTTTACAATGTATTTGAAGTTCTTTTATTTTTTTGTGCTTGCGGTCGAGAGCAGAGAGGAAGTATATATATAATACTGCATGCGTGTTAGCTGATGTTGTTATTGTTTATGTGACAAAAATAGGACATTTTTAATCCAACAAGGACGTCATGTCGGAGCATATTGTACGTTTTTGTGATTTTGGGGAAAGGAAAAGGCAGCACACTGTGTGAATGTATATGTGCCTTGATGTGCCTAAGATATGACCCTCTTTTTCACAATGCCACACTCAATGTTTAAGAAACACAGGAAATTATGGTAAAGAATGTAAAGATATTTAATAAGTTGTTACATAAAGAATAGTATTTAAATTGTATTTTATGTTTTATTTTAGAACAGAGGTTTTGTTGGGAGGGGTGCCATGTTGGAGGGGTTAACAACCAGAATATAACCCCGGTGATAATTTAGTAATTTGACCTGTGTAAATCAAAAGCTACTTGTATTTTATTGGGCTGGATGTTGTTTATTTATTTTATGATGAGATAGTTCCTGTTTAAAATCCAAATGTTTTGAGTTTAATAGAATTTTATTCAGATCATATGCAGCTGCTTTTGTTTTGATATTTACCATTCAAAGGCCCTGAAAACGTATATAGAACTAAATGTTTTTGTTTTCACAGATTTAAAGTTACAGTATCTCACATAAGTGAGTACAAATATTTCATTATATCTTTTCATGGGACAACACTATAGAAATGACACTTTGATATAACTTAAAGTAGTCAGTGTACAGCTTGTATAGTAGTATAGATTTACCTTCCTCTGAAAATGACTCAAAACACAGCCATCAACATCTAAACAGCTGGCAACATAAGTGAGTACACCCCACAGTGAACATGTCCAAATTGTGCCTAAAGTGTCAATATTTTGTGTGCCAACCATTATTATCTAGCACTGCCTTAACCCTTTTGGGCATGGAATTCACCAGAGCTCACAGGTTGCTTCAGGAATCCTCTCCCACTCCTCCATGATGACATCATGGAGCAGATGGATGTGAAGACACCTTGCGCTCCTTCACCTTCAGCTTGAGGATGGCCCACAGGTGCACAGGTGAGTTTAGGGCTGGATACATACTTGGCCAGTCCATCACCTTCACCTTCACCTTCAGCTTCCTCAGCAAGGCAGTTGTCATCTTCTAGGTGTGTTTTGGGTCATTATCATGTTGGAAAACTGCATTGCGGCTCAGTTTGAACCGAGCTCCCCAGAGCCGGCAGCACTCATGCAGCCCCAAACCATGATGCTGCCACCACTATACTTGACTGTAGGCAAGGGACAGTTGTCTTGGTGCTCTTTCAGCATTGGTTCATTTAGGGAAACATGAATTCCAAGCAGAGCATGATCGCCCTTTTTCGGAAACTGAGCCGCAATGCAGTTTTCCAACATGCTAATGACCCAAAACACACCTAGTAGATGACAACTGCCTTGCTGAGGAAGCTGAAGGTGAAGGTGATGGACTGGCCAAGTATGTATCCAGCCCTAAACTCACCTGTGCACCTGTGGGCCATCCTCAAGCTGAAGGTGGAGGAGCGTAAGGTGTCTTCACATCCATCTGCTCCATGATGTCATCATGGAGGAGTGGGAGAGGATTCCTGAAGCAACCTGTGAGCTCTGGTGAATTCCATGCCCAAAATGGCTAAGGCAGTGCTAGATAATAATGGTTGGCACACAAAATATTGACACTTTAGGCACAATTTGGACATGTTCACTGTGGGGTGTACTCACTTATGTTGCCAGCTGTTTAGATGTTGATGGCTGTGTTTTGAGTAATGTTCAGAGGAAGGTAAATCTATACTACTATACAAGCTGTACACTGACTACTTTAAGTTATATCAAAGTGCCATTTCTATAGTGTTGTCCCATGAAAAGATATAATGAAATATTTGCAAAAATGGGAGGGGTGTACTCACTTATGTGAGATACTGTAGGTGGGACTCATTTGGAAAAAAAGGTGATGTCATGTACTTCTCATCATTAATCAGGATTGAGGGCTTTAAAGGGTAACTTTTTCAACCTGGCTCCTTTTGTCCAACATTTTTGTGTCTTAAGTGACTGGCTGGCAGCTGTGAAACAGGCTTCAATGCACACACTCAGGGCATTTGTGCACCCTCAAAGTGCGTCCACAAAAAGTGCTTGTTTTTGCCACTGACGGGTTCAGATTGTTACTTAAAGTGTCTGACAACATTACAGAAAGGATCCCTACAGAGATAGACCTTTTTTTTTTTTTTTTTTAAAGATTAAGATCTTTTTTGTTTAAATAAACATTGATTTTAGCGTGGACAGAGGCGGCATATTTTCACATCCAAGTGGGTGAATTAAGGTTTCATTTAAACTAAACCAGAGTTGGGAAATGTTGGAACAGTGGACAAAGTGGACCAAGACAACTTTTGTCAGTTTTACTTTGTGTCTGTTGACTTTGAATGACGTGTGTTATACGAGTATAAAATCACTGTTTATTTAAATGGAATCTGATGAGTTTGGCGATGGCAATTTGGGGCTGTTTTTGGTTAAACAAAAAGGATCTTTCTCTTTAACCAAAAGGTCTATCTCTGTAGGGATCCTTTAGATAATTTTGTCAGACACTAATAAAAACAATCTGAGCCTGTCAGTGGCAAAAACAAACATTTTTAGTGGATGTAAATTGACAGTGCACAACTGCCCTGAATTGTTACATCACAGGCTGTTTCATAGCTGCCAGCTGCAACACTCTCGCTTAATAGTGGACCAATTTCAAAAGTCCTTGCATCCCTTATTCACTTAAACATAAAGTCAAGGACAAATTTCTCAAAGACTGTGTTCAAATGGATTCAAATTAAGGATGCAAAACAATATCGGCATGCCATCAGAATCGGCCAACATGCTTTTTCTTATTTTGCACAATAAATGAATATTACATACATTGAAAACCATTATATGTCACATCTCCATCTGCTGGTGGGCCATCACAAGAAAAGTATGCATGCATAATGTGATGTTAATTCCAATACAGAAGAGACTTGATCATCACTAAAATTAGGTAGGGAAAAAAGCTGATACATCGTTATCAGTATCGGTTATTGGTTATTGGTTAAATGAGTTGTTATACATCGGCATATCGGATATTGGCAAAAAATTCAGTATCATGCATCCGTAATTTTAACCCTTTGGCAAAAACATTAAACCGTAACCTGTGCAACAATTTGACCCCTCTGTGAGTATTTCTGTTCTTTGGAGAAAGATAAAATAGTTCCTGTCTTAAAGTATTGAGCAGTGTTTGAGCATTTGAGAAGCTTTTAGACTGTTAGATCTGTTGCTCAAACTGGACTTCCTGGATTGCAGTTTATTTTGCTTAGTTCAAAGGCCATCAAAAAAGTGAAAATGATAAAATTGTTGTAGTAGCCATACCAGAGTTTTTGGTAATTAAAATCAGACATCACAATCAATATCAATAAATGAGGAAAACAGGTAACCTAGCCGCATTCAGACCATCATTTGACTCTAAAACTAGTCCCAGAGTTGCAGTTAATAAAATTATTTTACTGTTAGGATCTCCTGTGTCTTTTCAAAATGGTAAATAAAAGTGAGAAGGTTTCATTCCTCCAACATGGCAGTAAGTCCATCCTCACACCTCCTTTTTATAAACCTCCTGTTGAAGGTTTTTTTTATTGTAAAAGAAGTGTCTGTGTGCTTCTTTATTGCCTTCATATTATGATTTATATAGATCACTAACTGAGATTTATCTATATGGCCTTATTTTAATGCAGTAAACAGAATCATTCCATAATGTTTCCTCCCATGTACCATCACTGTAACTGTTACTGAAGTGTATGTATGTATCAGTGTTTGGTCACATGGGAGGTTCAGCTACAATACCTCCACACTGAGGACCCTTCAAGCTGCCAACAACCGCCCGTCAAGAATAGCTCATGGGCAGCACGACTTAAATCCACATCCCGATGTTTGATTGTCTTCTGTGGATGAAATTACAGCTTTATCCAGGCTCAAAGAGAATCATATTCCATATACTGCAAGAATACTGTGAGCCAGTCTTCAGGTAAAAAAGCAATTATCTAATTAAATGTATCTGGTTGCTTGCAAAGCTTTGTTGGGCTTTCTGTGTTTCTTGTGTGAGCATCGTTTATAGCTGGCGTCATAACAGTGGAGAGAAGAGATGTGACAGCCTGTGAATGGGACAGAAAAGATGTGGACATGTTTTCTATAGGAAAATTTTAAGTTGTTTGAATTTGAGTTAAATGTTTTTTCTTGTCAAATTACTGAAAAATTAAGCTTTGAAATCAAGGGGAAAAAGGTGATGAGACTTAAGTACAGTTTTTCTCTTAACTTTACTTAAACATAAAATATGTAATCTCCTGCTGCAGAGTGTCTCTCAATCAGAACAAAAACAAAAGACGGAGCAAGTCCATCATTGCAGTCTTCCAGTTACTATTCCTTCAGTTTTCATTGTTAAGGAGGTTTTTACCGGGAGCCGTATTATCCACAGAGGGGTCTTCCTCTCTTAAACAAACGGACCAGGCAATTAAAACCGGTAAAAACACTCAATAAAACAGTTTAACATTAAAAATAAGCGTTTCACTAATGCTGTGTAACACAGCAAGGGCTGAAGCTGGAACATTTGTTCATGTAGTCTTGAGATAAGTCTTAAGATCCAGATGTCCAATGACTAAATTTCTTCATCTGGTTAAAATATGTAGTTAAAAACAACCAAGACCGAAAAACTGCATGGTACAAAATGTGGTTTAAAGATATATTGGCAGAAACTGAATATGTAATATAAGTATGTTTTCTTTAATGTATAATCACCAGAAGATAAGATTCATTGTGTTTTCGTTACCTTAGAATCAACTGTTCATATTTACATAGGGAGCCTGTCTTCGTCTATGGAGATCTACAGTAGCCCAGAATGGACAAACCAAACACTGGTTCCAGATAGGGACATTTATGTTTTCATGTTGGCCACTGTAGTTAGCAGCCCCTGCATGATGGAGTGTTGGAAAACACAGATTTTTAACATGAAACTGTTTGTACAATGTTCTTAGTGGTTTAAATAACTAAAGGTGTGTTTGTTTTGGAGAGGAGGAGACCTCTACGGATAATTCAGCTCCCAGTAAAAACCTCCTGAATGTCTGAATCTTAAGTTATCAGAGAAACAAGGTGAGTGCACGTTAGCAGGTGCTGGGTTAGCAGCCCATCTCTGACAAGCGGAACAGAACACTGAGTTTTAATGTGAAACTGCTTTAATTAGTGTTTGTACTGATTTAAATCACTTGATCCATTTGTTATATTGTTATATTTCAACCAGACGAAGAATTTTAGCC